AATCTATAATTTAGAATTTTTTCAGTCAATCTTTTATAAAATTAAACCTTTATATTTGTTGAATTTGTATCTTTTATATCCCATTTCATACTATAGATATTTGTCTCTATTAATTAATCACTTAATTATTTTATTATTACCAAATTTAAAATGTACTGTCAATTCTTATATTGGTTCTGATACAGTTTCTAAAGTTTTCATACAAGTTTGATGCATAAAAAATAATTACACATTAAAAATCAACATAAAGTGTTGAAATAAAACATACAGGATATTTTTATATTATGAAAGCTATATTATAAAAAAGAAAAATTTTTTATAATAAAATGTATGCACAAATATATAATGAGTAGTATCCTCAAATTAAAGTAGAATGAGAAGAAAAATGAGGATAGTTTACCTGCGTTTCTGAAGAAGCCGTAGTCTCTGCTCCAGTAGACGTTACATTGGACGTGTACGTGACCCCGCGTAATGCTTGTCCAGGAGTTACTGATCTAGCAATTCCAGTAGCTATAAAAAGAATCATGATAGATATTATAGATCAGTATAAATGTTATTATTTAATTTTATTCTTAAGATATCTATATCTAAAAATGTTAAAATATTGTACATAATTTCATATAAAAGTTTCCAATTAATACCTAATACGAATTATTGATGTTCAATCTGTATTTATATGAACCAGCATTGAAGAATAAATTTTGGACATTAGCATAATTTTCATAAGAATAACAATTTCATTTTAACGGAACATACTAGGATACTATGAATAAAAACTTCAATTACCATTTAGTTCTGTAATTAACTGTCAAAATATAATTTGCTAATTCATTCACCGTTATGCGAGACGAATATTCTCTTAAACAAGATATGTCTAAAATATTTTAACTGTGTATATCCTATTTCAATTTTAGGGTAAGATGTGTTGTCTTACTTGGACCGCTGACAGGAACACTAGATACCGTGGCAGTGGGCTGAACAACTTTGCTACTAACCATTGGCGTCCCAGTCCCCAATACTGTGCCTTTAACTGAATATAAAATACAATTCAAAATATTAACTTATTAATTACATTAATTCATATTAATCTTTGTTTAGTATGAGTATACAATATAGTTTATATTAAATATCGTCTTAGTAGCTATTATATATTACATACTTGTTTGGGGAGCACTAGCAGGCCTAACTGTAGGCATAGCAACTAAGTTAGCCGGCTTAACTGGAGGAGGTGGCGGAGTTGTACCCACTCCTCTTGGAGAACCTCGTGTTTGAGATTCTTTCAGCATATCCATTTCATTTCTAAGTTTTTCTAATTCTAGTTCAAGTTCCTTTGCCCTTTTTTCTTCTTTTGCTAAAGCTTGTCTATATTGCTGCCTTTCCATATCAAACTGTGCAAGCTGTTTCTCTAATTCTGCTTCCATTTGTAGGGACTTCTTACTTTCTTCTTCAAGTCCTTCAGCCATAGAATCTATTCGTACTTTTTCCTCACTTAATATCAGTGCTAAATCCTCTGATCTTTTTCTTTCTTCTATATATTTCCTGATTATTTTTGTACGTTCAGCCAATAGAAGAAGTACTATTTGTTTTTGCCGTGTTTTCTCTTCCTCTTGAGTGTCATTTGCTTTTTTTAAATCTAGTTCCAGTCTTTTCTTTTCTTGTTTTTCTAATTCTAATTCTTTCTTTAATCGTATTCTTTCCTTTTCAAGTCCATATGTAATATCATCACCTTGGGCAGTATCATGTTCATGTTTTCGTTTTTCTTCTTCCAATTCCTTGATTACCTAAAATAAAGTCAATAATGATTTCACAAAGAAAACATTAGTTATAATATAAAAAAGGTTATAAATTCGAAATTAATAGCATACTGCTCTGTGTCTGAGTTCAGCATCTTTAAGAATTTTAGTCATCCTAGGCTGCATTCGTCTTTGTTGTTGCACAAGTGCTTCTAAACTAGCAACTTGTTGATCTACTTGATTTGATTCATGTCCCATTATACCTCCTGCTAATGCCATATCACGTATAAGTGCAGCATGTGGATCTGAAGTTCTACTCAGATATTGAGCATGTAATAGATGTTTCAATTTCTCCGACTAAAAAGTATATATAAATAATAAAAATATCCACTTAAAAAACTATTCTTAATAAACTTTTATGGTAATTTAAATTGCTCCATAGCAATTCATTGTCAATCATAGAAAATAACTTTACCTTTAATACCGCTATTACAATATCTCTTGCCTGTAACTCTCCTTCGAGATGTCCTAACAGTTTTAATAAATCGCTTTTGCTCAGTTCCATTTTTGGATTGCGCTATAAGAAATATTTGAGAAAATACCATTAAGAAAAATCTAATTTAATGTTTTAAATGGAAGAAATAAAATTAGACTTCAAAATGTATTTAAATAACAAGCGTGTAGTTAAAATTAAAAACATCATCAGTGATAAAGAATCACGTACTTTCAACGTATTCGAGGAGTTCTTGTCAAGTGCCTCTACATTGTTAGATTGCAAAGTTTGTTGATGCTGTTGCTGTTGCATCGGCGACGGTGACGGCGACGGTGACGGCGATGGCGACAATGACGGTGACGAGTGTTGTTGTTCGTAAGGTTGCGGAGATGGTGTAGAAGCGAACGACTGCATCTTCGTGGTACAGACCGAGATGGTCGTCGATGGTCCGGATGATCCATTCGCCGGTGAAACAGTTGAACTCACAGTTGTAGCATTTTGATTCTGCGATGCCATTTTTGAGAAAAACGAATTATCGAGGAGTATCTACCCCTGAAGTATATGCACACTCTCAGGGGCAGAGTACTTCAAAAGTACTCAGATGAAAGTATTCCGCAGTTAAACCCGTTTCAACCTTCGGTATTAATGCTTTCATTTGAACAAGTAAGGCTCCGACCTCGAGAGCCAGCTTTCGGGACGCGCCACATTGTTCCTGGATTCTTTTTTTCCTTCCCGAACTTATTTAAATGACACCGAACAAGTTAATCTGGCATTTAACTTTATCCTCGATTATTGACAAATCAACTACAAAGCGTAATTCACAGATAGGAACCTATCTCGTGAAAGGTGCAACATACGAGATCATTTATTATCGATTATTTGTTATCGAATATCACGATTCAAACTTCGACTTCGACCCCGACAGCGGTAAACTTAAAAGTTGATCTCACGCTAAATCATAAATTTATATATTTAAAATATTAATAATTCAAAACTTATTAACTATTTTTATAAAACTGTACTTCCTTCTTTTAGAATATAATGGAAACATTTAGACTTATGTTTTATTAAACTCGTAATTGTCTACTAATAGATAATATTGAATTTTATTTAAATATACTCGCATTTGAAAATGATTATTCAATATTTATTATTGTTATTAAATATTCTTTTACTCTTAATGTAATTAAGTCTTTGAAATAATGGAATTTTATTAGATTTCTTCAAGTAACATAGTGATATTCATTATAAACATATCTTTAAAGATACTCTACATTTATAATAATTTATAATTAATACATTTGTAACATTTCATGATTCATCTTTCTGATATGTTTAAAAATAATAAAATCATTTTAAAAGATATTGATAAAACTCTTTTTACCTTTGACTTAGATACGATCTTTTTTTCTATTTTCCCGAAGTCAAAGATAACAGAAAACTACTTTTGACAAATTCCATATCTTATCAGTTTATCGGTGGACCTAATATATCAATAAAAATTTCGGCAGTAAGTGACTCATAAACAGTGAAACACCGATGAAGAATTTAGTTTTCAATATGTCAAATTTGGAAGAAACAAATAATTTAAATTCATCATTATTTGCTGATTTTGAAAACTATGACGACGATTTCTCTGAACTTAAGAATGGATCTACAATACCCCAACAATCGTAAGGGAATATACTCAATCAGTAACTACTAATATGAAATTATTTTTTTAAACATTAAATTTTTATTCAAAAATTACATTTTCTTAAGATTAGTAACTTAAAAATTTTATAATTAGTATTTTTACAATTAATTATAGATAATATTGCAATCAGTCATCAATAATAATATAATACAAGAAATTAATTATACATGCTTCTATTTATATTAATTTCAGGATCGAACAAAATATCTTATCATGGGATGTATTTAAACATTTCCCATTAAAAAAAGAAAGTGAATCAATGCAGAATAATAAATGGTTGGGTTCTTTTGTTTTGCGTATTATTAAATTTTTTATGTATGGTATTATTTTCTGCATTGTATTCTGCTGTATTTTAATTGCCAAAAGTGCAGTTCTTTTTGCAGTCTCACAGCTTGATGAAGAACATTCTGTAAATTTCTATGATTACTCAGGTATCTTTTAAATATTATTCATATAATAATTTTTCTAATTACTTGCTTATTTTAATATGATTTATATTTCATGAAACAATATATAATGATTATTGATATCTCAGGTGCTGCAGGAAATATAAATGCAAAAATTTCCAAAGAAGGTAGAATAATTTGGACATGGTACATCATCTTTATGTTTCTTGTACCAGAATGTTTTAGTATTTTACAATCTATATGGCATAACATTTTCAAAAAGAAAGAAAAAATGCCCAAAAAAGGAAGTCTGGTAGTACTTTTTATTTTGGAAACTCTTCATCCAATTGGTTTAGCACTTTTAGTTTTTTACAGCCTTCCAAAGATCAATTCCATAGAAGCTGCAGCATTATGTAGTTGTATATCTTTTATTCCTGTTCTAATAAGTAAGATTTTTGTAATAAGCTTGGTGAACGAAGAAAAGTTATTCATTTAATTTAAATTGTTCTAAAAGATATTCTGATTTTTATTACAGATTTACTCTCTCAAAATCGAAAGTATTCAGGAATTAAAATATTTATATTATGCCTATTATGCAACATTTTAGCATTTATTGCTCAAGGATCTGGATTAATTATACATTACTTTCTGTACTATGATGCGCATGATGCCATAATATGGATTCTTCCACTATCACTTTTATTATCTTCTTGTCGATGGTGGATCAATTATATTTCTGACCATAGTTACTGGGGTAATAATTTTGTAATCCTTAATGTTTTTAGTACTGCATGTATTCAAAATAAATAGATTGATAAATCTAATTATAATAATTCACTATTTTGTGAACAGGTTTTATAAGATTTTTAGCAGCAGTAAAAGCGGATTTGACAAATAACCAACATTTATTACAAGGATACATAGCATTTTGGAGATGTTTGATCTTTATTTTGAGTGCCTCTGTAATTTCAATTTTTAAAGGAATTCAGTTTCAAGAGTTTTTTAAATGTCTATTCATGAATCATTATAATGTGAAATTAGTTCAATTTTTAAACTCCTCTGTTTCTGTGAATGAACTAATAACAAATTACAATTTGGAATACAACGAATTTCAGCAAGATAATTTTAATCCTATTGTAGACACATCAGCACCTTTATATATTTTTTTGATCCAGATTTTCTGCAGTTTCTTCGCATATAAAGCAAGTGAGTACAAGACTTTATTATAATCGTATGATGCAAACAAAGAGTATATTATAAATTTTTAAAATCTATAATTTCATTATAGCAATATTTGCATATAAAACACAGATGCATAAGTGTAGTGTTGCTCTTCCATTAAGCTTAATTACTCCAGGGTCAATAGGTTTAATGGTAATGTTTTGTGTTATGAAAAATGAGGATTCATATATTTTTGATAACATAATACCAGATTATCTATTTTTCAATGAACCCATATACAATAATATAAAAGATTTTATTCTAAGCTGGCGTGTGTGGTGTTGGATAATATGGTGGTTATCACAAATTTGGATTACAATACATGTGTGGTTCGATCAAAAAGAAAAACTTGCTCCTGTGAAGAACATTTTTTACAATTCAACTTATGATTCCCTTATAATTGATCAGTTTATAGGTTTAAATAAACGGAAATATAATACTTACAATACCACTGAAGAAGAAGAGCTTTTCGATTTGACCACGCAGCTTGAGGTACTTTTTTTACTGTTTTTCAACAAATTAAATTTTTTATAATCATTATTGCACTTAAAATGAAAAGTCCTTTTGTAGACTGATAGTATACAGGGAATAGAAAAGTCAAATAGATCAGACTCAGGATATTCAGAAGAAAATATTAATAATAGAGAAAATGCCTGCATTACTCAAATTTATGCATGTGCTACTATGTGGCATGAAAATAAAGAGGAAATGATGGAACTGATTGGAAGTATATTACGATTAGATAAAGATCAATGTGCTATGAAAGTTACACAAAAATACTATAAAATTTTTATTAAAGATTATTATGAACTTGACAGTAAGTAAGATTTATAATTAAAATAATATAAGATTAGTTATTAATATTATTTAAATGAAAGTAATGTAATAATTACTTTAGCACATATATTTTTTGATGATGCCTTTTGCTGTATACATGGTTGTACTGAATCATGTAATCATCTTGAAAGTGAAACACAAATAAATCAATATGTAGTGACATTTTTGGAAACTATGCAAGAAGCTGTAAAAAATCTAGGTATAGCTTCATTACCTCCAACTAAATATCCAACACCCTATGGTGGTCAGCTAATTTGGACTTTACCTGGAAAAACATGTTTAACAGTACACCTTAAAGATAAAAATAAAATTAGGCACAGAAAAAGATGGAGCCAGGTACATTCAATATTACTAGCAACAAACAGTAAAACAAATCAATTCATATAAATTTAATGAAATTTTAATGACATTTGAACTCCTGATAACAATTCTTAATTCTAAGCTAATATTGGAAAATTGTAGGTCATGTACATGTATTACCTTCTTGGTTTTCGCTTAATGGGATTACCAATTGATATGGATCGTAAAGAATTATTAACACAAAATACTTACATTTTAACGTTAGATGGTGATATTGACTTTCGACCAACATCTGTGAAAGCATTAATTGACTTAATGAGGAAAGATAAGGAATTAGGCGCAGTTTGTGGACGAATACATCCAGTAGGAAAAGGTATCTAACATGTACTATATAGTACACGAAACTATAGTATATGTAATATCTTTCAATTATGCAGTTACTAATCATTACATATTAATAAAATAAACTATTTCGATATAGGTCCAATGATTTGGTTTCAAAAGTTTGAATATGCCATAGGTCATTGGCTTCAAAAATCGACAGAACATACTATAGGCTCGGTACTTTGTAGTCCTGGTTGCTTTTCTCTTTTCAGAGCAAAAGCTTTAATGCAGCATAATGTCATAGCAAAATATGCAACTAAATCAACTGAACCCAAACATTATATTCAGTATGATCAAGGAGAAGACCGTTGGCTTTGTACATTGCTCTTACAAGCTGGTTGTAGGGTAAGAACTATGTTACAATAAATTAAAATATTATGAATTTATTATTATTTACTGAATTTTTTTAGCTATTAATCGATGTAAATACTTTAATATTTAACCTTGGTTTTGTTTATTTAGGTAGAATACTGTGCAGCTGGTGACGCTTATACACATGCCCCAGAAACATTTAAAGAATTTTATATTCAACGTCGTAGATGGATTTCATCAACTATGGCTAACATATTTGATTTATTGAATACAGCTAAAGAGACAAGAAAATTAAACAATAATATTTCATGGCTTTATATTGCATATCAATGGATATTAACAGGTAACTCTAGAAATACTTAATAAGAAATAATATGTAATCTTTAAAAAGATATAAGAATAACTACATTCAATGTATAAATCTGAACAACAATCGTTATTTTACAGGTAGTACTATTATTGGACCATCTTTCATCTATTTAATGATGGCTGGTGCATTTGTTGCTGCTTTTCAAATAGATAATTGGTCAAGTTTTTGGTATAACTTAATTCCACTACTTGTGTTCATAGTAATTTGTTTCTTCTGTCAAGATCATATTCAGGTAATTGTTTGAATAATTGTTATAACATGCAACATATGTTCAACTGGTTAAAAAAATATATAAATATATTATATATAATATATTATAATTATTCAATATATACATATATAATGTATAAAATGTATAATCAATCTAAAATGAAAACTTTCTGTGGAATAATAATAATAATAATAATAATAATATCTAGTTATTTTTCAGCTTATTGTAGCTGAGTTTATTTCTGTTATATATGCTTTAGTAATGATAATTGTATTGGTTGGAATACTACTACAAATAGCAGCCGAAGGATCTTTTGCACCCAACATTCTTCTTTTTTATATTGTACTTGCCCAATTTGCGCTAACAGGTTTTATGCATCCACACGAAATATCATGCTTGAATTTTGGAATCATTTATTATATCACAGTACCATCAATGTACATGTTGCTTATTATTTACTCTATTTTTAATGTACATAATGTTACATGGGGTACTAGAGAATCTAAGCAACAGACAAAGGTATGTTCTCATAAAACCATGCTACTTAAACATGAAAAAAAATTTAAAAAGTATTGTGTAAATCTTATTTGCATAATTGTTCATTAAATAACTCATATATTATAATTTTATTGTTACAGGCATCAGAAGAAGCTAATAAGTTGCAATCTAATGAAAAATTCAAAAATAATTGGAAAAATTCTTCATTTGTCAACTTTTTTAAATACGTTTTTTGCACATGCAGTTCACAAAAAGAAGAAGAGTATTTAAAATCTATCTATAATGCAATAAACGAAATCAATATACGCTTAGAAACAATAGAAAGGTAATTAGTGCAAAGATATAATTGTAATTTTTAAAAATTTGCAATTCAATTTCTTATTCTTAAATACAGATTAATTTTACAATGAATTTGTTAGTCTTAAATTAGTATACAGTAATTACAGAATCGGTAGTATATCAAAAGATAACATAGAAGAAACTAATAACAATGAAAGTACTGGATATGTTGCTGAAACTGATTTACAAACTATTAAAGATGATTTATACATAAGTGAAGATTCAGAAAGTGAAAATTCAGTACAATCATTTACTAATGTTTGCAATGAATATTCCACTTATTTAATAAATCCTAATTGGCTTCAAAGTAAACATATGCAACATGGGAAAGTAGATTTTCTATCTACAACAGAAGAGCAATTCTGGAAACAATTAATTGCAAAATATTTACATCCTATTGAAAAGGATGAAGAGAAAGAAGTATGAATTCTTAAAAAATTAGTCATTAAATTAGAATATTATCTATCATGTTTGTTTTATAAATATTATATTTTTTTTTAGAAAATAATTAAAAAAGGATTAATGAAGATACGAACTGAGAGCCTTCTAAAATTCTTTACCATAAATACTTTATTTGTAGTAGCAATTTTCTTATTACAAATTAATAAAGATGTTTTAAACTTACCATGGCCTTTCGCTGTTAAATATAATATAACTTATGACGAAGGAAGAATGCAAGTAAGTTTTTCACTTTTTCAATATAAATCAATACTATGATATAGACAATTAATATAGTTTAATACAAAGTTAATACAATTTACATTTTTCAGGTTTACGTAACAAGGGAATACATGCGTTTGGAGCCTATAGGATGTCTTTTTATTATTGCATTTGTTACTATTTTAACCATTCAATTTTTAGCAATGTTGGTTCACAGATTGCACACATTTACTCACATTATCGCTAATGTGAAATTAAATTTACCTTTTCCTTGCAAAGTAATATAATATATTATAAACTTATATTTATTATTCTGTATTGTAACTATTTGTCATAATTATTTAAAAATCATAAATTTTTATACTCAAAAATATATATTATTTTTCAGGCAAAAGATGAATCGGATAATTTAATTACTACTGAATATGCATTAAACATAATAGAAGGACTTCAAAGTGCAGTAGAAAATGAAACAGTACATTCTATGACAGATAATGAAATGTATTATTCAAAAACACAGAAAACTATTCACGAATTAATGAAAGACGATCAAAGTTCTTCAAAGATTTCTACTAATTTTGAAATACTTTTTAATAGAAAACTGAGAGAAAACGCTAGATCTGGTATGAATTTGTAATTGTTTATTATACTTTATTATATTTAAAATGTTTATTTTATGTCTTATCTCATTGTCTTAGGTTTCTCTAATGTGATATCTCCAAATGTACCAAAAAATGCATTAGAAGCATTTGAAAATCATCGTTCTACAATTATAAAAAAACGTAAGAAAAGGTTACCTCTAGATATTATTTATACTGATAGTGAAAATGGTGAAGCATCAAATTTTAATTCAAAAAACACAAATAAAACAAGAAATTATGAGTATGATAATCCAGCATACTTAAATGATAAAGAAAATTAATATTTATAAAGAATGTGCTCATTTATCTCATTTAAGTATCCATTGTGCTTAAATTGAATTCTACATTAAAAATATTTAACCTAATCACTAATCGCATAAAAATTTATTAATTATCATTCGAAGATTCAATTTTATAAATATTTTTGAATGTAAAGTTGTACAATTTCATAATAAACTGTTTAGCATATTAATTTTACAAATGTAAAATATAAATTGAATATAATATTTAACTTACGTAAATGTGGTGTTCTTCAAGATGACTATTTGTTTATATTTTTATAGCCTATTCGGAATAATTATTTTTTCCTATTTTTCTATTTTATACCAATTGTTGTGCTATTTTATTATTATATTTATTCTTTTTGTATACTATTTTATTATTGTATCTTACATCGTTATTTATTTATTTGTACTCTTATCGGCGCGGGCCTGAAACGCTCAAATACAGTGGGGTTCCGGACTTATACATCCTAATTGGTTCCAAAATGTTAGACGCAAGTTAATAATGTATACAAGGTATTTAGCATGTATCAAGTTAAGAGATACATTTTCTTTCAAATGTATAAAAATGCAAGAAGAGATTACATTTAACAAATATTTACAAAAAACCGAAGAGACCACGATGTTCACAAATAATACTGTAACACAAAGATGCCTAAATTGATGCTTGCAGGCACTCTAGTGACAGTCCTCTCGTGAAAAGTTACCTTCTCCATACCTACTAAACTTGTTTGATTAAACTCTACATACAACTCGCATACCTACATACATAGTTTGGGACAGCTTTTTGAGTGTGGTAATGGGGGAACACTGTTTTCAAGTTACTAGCGTCAGGGGAGAAAATTAGCACCTCTGGCCTAAGGCAGAAAATTACTCGAAAACAGTATTTCCCCACTACCTCTACTTAAAGAGCAGACTGAGATTGTGTATGTGAGCAGTTCTCTGTGAATGTCAATATAAACAGGAAGAAGTAGGTATGGAGAGGGTTATTTTTCATGAGGGGAATGTTACTAGAGTTCCCTTTAGCATCGATTTAGCACTCTTGCTCTAGAAGTTACGTATTCACATGTTTCTTATAGTAACTTTTATGTTTGAAGCAAGTTTTATCAAGGATTCAACACATTGACTGAATTCATCAGCTTGGTGAACCTCAACCTCTTAAACTCATGTAGTAGTATGAAATAATGCTTTTAAGGATTTATTTTTAAAAACTACGTTTTCTTTAAAACGAAGAAGGAAAATGTCACCAACGAGAGGATATTTACGAGATTCAAGCGGTGATTCAGGTAAAAAATGATAATTTTAATTTAATATATATGTTTATTTCCTATCCAATATACCGTCACTGAAACAATATTAAATTGTATTTTTTGGCTCGTTTAAGAGTTATTTACAAAAGTATTTGTAGGGTCAGAATCAGATAATCAATCAGGATCTTCTCGATCAAGTCGTAGTGGCACACCATCTAATGCAGCAAATTCTGGTCATGAAAGGAATTCTGATGATGAAAATGAAGCTAGATCAGTAGGTTCAAATGTTAGTGGAAGGTCTTCTAGATCAAGTAGCCAATCTGGAGAAGAAAAAGCTGATTCTAGACAAAATTCCAAAAGTCCATCTCCAACTAGGTCAGGTTCTAGACATTCAAGTGTTGGATCTCCACGAAGTGAAAAATCTGGCTCACAGAGGTCTAGAAGTGGTACTCCAAAATCAGCTGCATCTAATAATAGTGATTCGCAAAGATCAAGATCAGTTTCTCCACATGAAAGAAGATCAGAAAGTCCAAAATCCGTAGAGTAAATAAATAATTTTCTTTCTAATAAATTTCTTTTACATTGTTTATAAAATATAATTTACAGCAATTTGAATTCTCCTGGTCCTGAGAGAACTGAACCTACAGATTCTGAACAGAAACATGATAACTCTACAGAAAACAAAGAGGACAACGAATCTGAAAAGTCTTTGAAAATAAGAGGTATGTAACCCAAACAAACTGAATCAATTTTCAGTACTATTCAAAATTTTATTTTTATTATTATATAGCAGGTAGTACAAAATCAAATGATAGTGATGGAGAGGGTAGTCCAGCCCAGAAAGAAGATAATAGTGACTCTGCATCGGATGCAGAAGAAGCTATCAAGAGAGTAAAACCACTGATAGATTCTGATTCAGAAAGTGAACCTGCAGAGAAAGAAGCTGTAGCTCCAACAGCAGATGCTCTTTTTGGAGATGCTAGTGATATTAGTACAGATGATGAGAAAGATAAGGAGGATGGGAAGAGAGAGAAAAGTCGTAGTAGAAGTAAAAGCAGAAGTAAAAGTAGAAGCAAGAGCAGAAGTAAAAGTAGAAGTAGAAGCAGAAGTAGGAGCAGAAGCAGGAGTCGTGACAGATCTGATAGTGGTGGTGAAGGCCCAAGTCAGCCAGTTATTGAGGATGTATGTATAGAAAATAATAATAACACTTCTATATATATTTTATGTAAGAGAGAAATTTCAAATGATCATAATGTAATTTTTTATAGGATGTTGATAAAGAAAAAGAAGAAGAACCTGAACCTCCCCCAGAAACTAGAATTGATGTAGAAATTCCAAAAATTACAACAGATTTGGGTCGTGAAATACACTTTGTAAAGCTCCCAAATTTCCTTTCGGTAGAAACGCGACCATTTGATACGGAAACGTATGAAGATGAAATTGATGAAGAGGAAACTTTGGATGAAGAAGGCCGTGCCAGATTAAAGTTGAAGGTTGAGAATACTCTTCGTTGGAAAGAAATCTTTGATGACCAGGGTAAAGTTGTTAAGGAAAGCAATGCCAGGTTTGTAAAATGGTCTGACGGAAGTATGTCATTGCATCTGGGTTCCGAGATTTTTGATGTCTACAAACAGCCACTTCAGGGTGATCACAATCACCTGTACATTCGTCAAGGAACTGGTCTCCAAGGTCAAGCAGTTTTTAGAACTAAATTGACATTCCGGCCGCATTCTACAGAATCCTTCACTCATAGAAAGATGACAATGTCACTTGCGGATAGATCACAAAAGACTTCTGGTATAAAAGTATTATCACAAGTAGGAACCAATCCAGATCAAAATAGATATGAAATGATTAAAGTAAGTTAATTTAATTATTTCAACTGCGTTTTATTATAATATAATTATGATATTATAATTTATTATGATATAATTGTCGTTTACTACAAAAATATTCAGGAATAGTATCATTGTGTGATAATACTATTGTATGAAATATTATTATCATTTTTTAGAAAGAAGAAGAGAAATTACGTATGGCAATGAGAGTTCAAAGTAAGACGAAAAAGAGTACTACAGGTAGCAGAAATCCTGCAAGGTCTGTTGGTGGCTATGGTGGTGATACTTATCATGATGATGGTTCTGATGATGAAGGTGCCATTTCTTTGGCAGCAATTAAAAATAAATATAAGAAGGGATTGAATGCTCCTGTAAAAGGTGAGATATAAAGACATATACGAAGACTATTTATAAAAATACTTAGTTTAAATAAATGAAGTATAATAATTATTCTTTCATGTTTTTAGCATCGAATATATATTCGTCGGACGAAGAAGGTTCAGATTTTGAAGCTCTCAGACCGAAGAAAAATATTAAAGGAAAAGTTCTTAAAGATTCAGATGAAGAATCAAATTCCGTGAGTGGTTCGGAGAGTGGAAGGGAAGATGACAATCAAGGCGATAATGCTAGCGATTAGAGAATTTAGATTTTTATTAAGAACAAGGTGTTTTTGTAATATAAGCAAATAAATTAATTTCTGAATTATTAACTGATAATTAATTTTAGACTCCATGGAATTATTAAACAATTTTTATTATTTAATTATGTTTAATTAAAGAAATATAAGAGGTAACGAATATAAAGTTCGTAATTGTAGCTCAAATTATTTTAGAACTCTTGTATACAAATCTAGGCTGATCTAGAAACTTTTGATGGCAAATTATTGGCAGCACTGATACGCACACACACCGATCTGTGTCACGGAAACATTTTTATTTAACGAACCAATCTTCTCATAATTGAAAATTGCTACATTCTAATCTGTGAGTATAATTATTGTTTTCGTTAATAATTTAGGCGCTCAAATTAATTTCTGTTACTACAATTTATAAATGTTCACGATACTATAATACTCAATAAGTTTTATTTAATAAACATTATTCAATGACTATACAGTAATAAATTGTTTAATAAATCTTTTATTTCATTTTTCTGTACATGAATTTTGAATAATAGTATTGATACTTGTTCGCATTCAAATATTTCTTTCTTTAAAAATGCTGAATTTAAATATAGATTTGTATACAATATTTACAGAAAAGAAATATGAATTGTAATATTTTACTTATTTTACGATATAATTTATTATCTGCAAACATGAAAACTTATTAATATGTTTATTTATGTAGTTAATTGCAATAATATTGAGCTATTAATTAAGTCAATTTAACCTGTGCTTCTTTGTGTGAGTGGAATATAACCTTGATCTTGTTCTTTTACGAAGTATTAAAGCTCAAAACTTTTTATAGAATAATATTATGCTTGTATACTAGTATTTTAATAGCAGGTAATAATATTTTTATTTAATATTAGTAAATATTTTAATTGAATTTATTTTATATTTTTTATATAATGTGAATTATTTTTTTATACTAATAAATAATGTAAATTATTTTAGGTTTGTACACAATGGTTGCCCATACTGTACTCTTGGATTTCACAGTGCCATCAAGCGTAATAGCAGATATAGAGAAACGTTCTAACTTGAAAGTAGCCATTGCTAATGTTCTCAAAGAACATTTTGATGGTCTTAAGCCATTAACTGAACCGAATCTTAATGGAAGTCTCTTAGTTCTCTATGAAGGTCCCAGAGGTAGTCTGATCACTGTTCGAGGATATACTGAGGGCTTGATCACTGTTAACATTGAGTATTATAAAAAAGATGATGAAGAAGCACTGTTAAACTTTGAGGTATAGTTACTTATATTAATTATCATAATTTTTTTTTGCAATACCTAGTTGCAAACTTCATAATATTTAATTGCCTCTCATGGGTATTAGACATGAAATCAGCTTTGGTATCTCTCAAATATGGGGTCGATACAAGGTATATCTTGTTACATATTAATTTCTTAATAAATCATGAGAATGGTCATATATAACATACTTTCCAAACATTTCAATTTTTCTATGTAATGTTTGAACGATGCTCAAAACTATTTTGAGATTCGAACTTATTGATCTTTGACATGAAAAAGTAGAGTTACAAAGTAAAATATATTGTAAAAGATCATCATCGTTTGATGAGTGCCAATAGAAATAAGTAGAAATTTTACTATATGCGGAAGAAACACGTGTAACAAAGAGGACCTTGTAGCAGTGGCAATACCTGGAAGCGGACGTTGCGATGGCTCTGAATAGCCAACGCAGTAAGTGCCTGCCACCAGTAAGACGAGGAACCATATATGACCTCTATCTGACACTATCAGGTAGAAACCGCTTCCCCAATTAGTTCCCATACTTAGTTATATCTATAGCACCTTATGAATGTGCGAATCGTTTTCGTTGCACTCTAAAACGCCAACAGCTCCAATTGATTACTTTGTTTCCTGTCGGCGCGGTATTTTTCCCCGGTGTTTCTTTTTTGGTTCTTCCGCAAAGAGATTTAAACTGACCCTTATAACGCATATGTAAAAGAAGAGTTGTTACGATTGGTTTAACAAGATAGTTTCTGCTCTTTTTTTTATTCATCGGTTCGCTTATCGCGGCCACCTTTAGTTGATCAGAGAATTGGAGACGGCGTTGCAGGCGGCAGCAGCCTCTACGCGTTCGCACATGCTTACACCAATTAAACGCGGTGGACCTTTTGAGAGATACTTTCCTACCGCCGGTGAGTTTTTTATTTATTATTCTGTTTACGGAACCAGCGGAATTCTGTATCCGCATAATTTTTCATTTCATCGTGCGTCGTCAGAGAAAATTGTTTTGAAATCATTTTTTCGATTGTATGAATCATTTTATTGAACTGTTAACATTGTTTTCATTATTTTTGTTGCGCGACGAAATTGTTCATGATTATTGCGCTTTAACTTTTTCAAACAATATATTTTATTAGAATTGTATGTCAGTTAGTAATAATATTTGCGTCCTTCAAATATATATATATATAATTTATATATATAATTTTATATAGATATAATATATATATAATTTTTATATCCTTTTTCTATTAAAGGAAACCATTTCAGCTATTTATATTAGCTTTACAAATTTTAGTACAATATTCATGTAAATGATTTCCTACAAAGGCAAATACAAAGGGACATTACGTACATGTATTATAGAATATTAAATAATATGAAGAATTGTAAATTTTAATACTAACTTTCCATTTTACAGCTGTATTTATCCACTGAATGAAGCTACATGTTCCTCTAATTTATATGCTCTACTAGAAATACATAATATTTACCATAAATAATAAAATAGACTAGTAATATGCACCCGAAGTCCCTAAATCCTCAATATTTTGATTGTTGGTCATTGTATTGTGTATATGTATAAGAAGAAGTTATTTATTCTTTTGACATATTTGCGCTTTGCATCGCATGCATTTATTAAATGCTTTTTTTTTGTAACATTTAATTTAAACAATAGAAAACTTTTATTTTCACATGATCATTCTTTATTTTTAAGATGATAGACTACTTGAGTACGACATAGACAAGTTGGTCTTCGAAGCACGTTCACCATACCAAAAGGTGCAAATTGTTCATTCAAAATCATTAGGAAATCTATTGGTTCTTGATGAATTACAAAGTAAGAAACATAAAATTTGTGTATCCTTAAAATAGGTTTTATTAAAATAATATTATAAACTCTTTAATAATGTATTATGAAATTTTAGACATCTCCGAGGCAGACCTTATTTACACAGAAACTTTAATGCAGCGTGGAAAAGAGAGTTATGCTGGAAAAGAGATAGTTATTTTAGGAGGAGGAGATGGTGGGCTATTATGGGAACTGCTTAAAGAGAAACCAAAATTTGTTACAATGCTGGAAGTATGTTTCTTTGATGTTATAAAATAAACTACTATTCTCTAATATAATATTGTATTTTGACAATAATTTTCAATTTTTAGATTGATGATATTGTTATAAAAGCCTGCAGTCAACATATGAGAAGCATATGCGGAGACTGTCTAGATAAAAGAAAGGGAGAAAACTATGAAGTAAGTTACAGTAATTAGTCAATTAATTTTTTAACAACAAAACGAAACGTTAAATATTGATAAACATTTTGGAATTTTTAGATTATTGTTGGAGATTGTGTAAAGGCTCTAGCACGCATGATCGAAGAAGGTCGACAGTTTGACTATGTCTTTGGTGATCTTACAGATATACCAATCAGTACATCGCCACATGGTGATGCATGGGATTTTACTAGACTTATCTTAAATTGCTCCATGAAAGTCCTAAAGCCGACTGGGAAATACATGACTCATGTATGTATGCTAAAATTTATTTTTTTTTCTTCATTAATACAATATCTTTCGGTTAGTTACCTAATTATTAAAACTAATTATGTGAAAATTGTAATACTAATTGATCAGACAAAAATTTATAACAATAATTCAGATCATTGCAAGGCACTGTATTATTCAAGTTTTTAGTGTTTAAGATTTCTAATTACTTCTCGTGATTACTTACTGTTCACGTAGAAAGTTTCTTTCATTAATGTAATGTTATTTAAGATTTTAAGATTATATTTAAAAATATTTTCTGTTTTATCTTAAAGGCTAATGGAGCGTCTTGTCCAGAAGCGCTAGAAATGTACGAGCAGGTCCTCTCACAACTTTGTGTACCAGTAACCTTTACTAAAGATACTGCTTTTGTACCTTCTTTCTTCGAGGATTGGGTCTTCTACCAAGTATCGTTAGAATGATGGATTAAATATATAATCCTGAGGTTCCTGGGGAGGCATGCTCGCAACCCATTTCCTCCCTTATGACCCATATTCGACCCTAGTTGCGGATGTTTTATTACCAAATCGGTTTTTGGAAAAAAAGATCCCGATGCTGGACATAAAATCCCAATTGACTCTACCACGCTGGCGTCTGTACATAAATTAGGTGATGGTTATCTGACCTTATTTAATTGTTTAGTGACTAATAAACTATACAAAGGTGCTCAATTATTTTTTCTAATAACTGTCAATAATCAAAGTGAATCACCCAATGATTTAACACAAATAACTCCAAAGAAAGTAATACAAAACCTTCATTACTGTACAAATATATACCAATAATTAATCCTTTAATGATTTAATTTATTTATTAACTTTATAAAATATAAAACAAACCATATCAGATATAAATGAACAAACATAGATGTACGTATTTTTATTGAATGTGGAACATAAGTACACCTCATAGTAACCATAATAATCATAAGAATATTAATAGTAAGTATAACTGACTGATGAACAGCAATTAATATTAAAATTTATATAAGTATATGTATATATATATATATATATATACATAGTATGTGGTATATATGTATATAATATACATGTCAGACAATAAGGGGTTAAGGAATATATATGGGACTAACATACTAACATACAAATAAGATGTTTCCATCTGTTCTTTGAAACTTACACAGAGTTGTTTATTTTTAATGAACACTTAAGCGTATTTAGAGAAAGGAATAAGGAACTAAGGACATTAATTAGTGGTAAGTAAAATGAATAAATTATAAGTTGTTCATATTAATTTTAAAGCTAATGTTACTTAATATTATAGTTTTGATTAATGGATTAACACATATACACAGTATTGCTGTATATTTAATAAGGTTTATATTATTTTAATATCACTGTTTGTGCACATTAATATTAGTAAGGTACAACTAAATAATTAGTTTTTGTTTTGTGAATATTAAAATCACAATTAACAGTTCAGAAATTTTTGTCATTCGCAGTTTTTAAATGCTAATAAAATTATAAACTTATTGGTAATTGAAGATAATATACATCCTCATTAAAACGAATATATTAATATTAATTAATGTTAGCTTAGTACATAAATAAATAAATACAGTTACATATATAGGAAAGGTAAGATAGATTATGAATTACTTAATGATAAAAAATTTGATCCCAGAAAGAGGTGTTTTTTTTCTGTAAGAGAATTAAAAATAAATATATTAAAAAAAATATTACAGTGGGTTGATTGATCGCTTAAATAAGTATCTACTTCATGTTTCCAATTGAAACTTGGTACAGACATAAGCTTCTGTTATTTCAGGTAATTTTTCTACTTCATGAATAGTTGGTTCTATTTCAGTTTCAAGAACTATTTGATCTAACCACTGCTGTACTTGTTCTGGCAGTCCATATGAATTATGTTGCTCCTCCATAATGTTTCTTCCAGAATTTCCAAAAATTTTATCGTCATCTTGTAGCTCAATATCGGCACTTTGAAGATTGAAATCATTTTGCTTATATTCCAAATTAATTTTTGGAGATTGGCTTAGGCTCTCTTTAGACTTTTTGTTTTGAAAATCAGAAATCTGACTGATTTTATCTGTTAAATCTGTTATGCTATAAGTCTTTAATCCATTAGATACATTTTCCATCTTTTTGTCTTCTGCTGTAGAAGAAACTTCCATCTTTGCATTAGATGAGTTACTTTCTGAGCTTTTAATAGATTTGTCAAAGCTGACATGATCTTTATTAATATCTTGATATTCTTCAATTTTATAAGGCTCTAAGTCAGTGATTACTGTTGAGTTAGAACCTGTCAATTCGATTCTTCCAAATTGTTTAATTTGCTCTTCAAGAATGTTTCCATCATCTAATATAGTTATAGATGGAGGAAGAATTTCAGGATTGGACAATGCTAAAGATATTTGTTGTCTGTAAAGTGCTTCTGATTGTCGCAAAAGTTGTTTCTCTCTGGCGTACAATGTTTGTGTCAGTCTTGCAAAGGATACTTTGATTTCCTTCTGAACCTTAAAAATGATATATAACGACAAAGTATGTAGTTTACCAAATATTTTGAAAAATTTATACATTATCAGCAACAATTAAAAATTAAAACTTATTAATAAATAGAATTAAAACTTAACCTTAAAATCCTCTTTGTCTAAAATTTTATCAAATAAAATTAACAGAAATGAAAGAATATTACCTCAAGAAAGTGTTTCTCCAGAACAGTTTTCTTGTCAGCTATTAATTTTCTCCTGTCAAGATTACTATCACTGTCGGTAGTATCTTCATTTTTCTCTATCATGTTATTAATTTAAAGTGTCTACTGAAATAATTCGTTTCACCATGCACTTCTGTAAACAATAAAACGAAAAGTCAATATTCTTTAAAATTTAGTTATTTGCCAAATAGACGCGAAAGCAACTCAGTGCGGAACTAAAATCTAATCAAAACTATTCAGGTTCTAATTATTTTCCACCCGTTAGATTTGCTGCACTGCCATCTTGAAATCCATGTAATTCGAAATCGACCTTTGGTTTGTAAGGTTTTCGTTTTTGGATAAATTCTTTAATAAAGACTGTGTGTAATTAAAAATATTATGCAGGTAAGTTTATAAAACAAGAAAATAAATTTCTTTATTGTTTTGTTTATCGCATGAATTTTCATTTGAGTACACATTTAATCATAATAATAGTGTGTACAGTGAACTGTGTTTTCATACTGTTAAAAATAATAGAATATATAAAATCATTGCGCAATTTTGATGTAATTCTTATTGATACTGTTTTATATGTTTTATTTAAAACTACAAAGAGAATTTTAATAATCATCTTTATTTACCAAAAGAAAATTTCGTCGTACAGATGCTTTCTTTCTATTTCCTCTTCTCCAACGTATGTAACTAAAATAACTACTAATTAAACAACTAATAATAGCAATTTTCAATTAAATATACAGTTGAATTTTATTCGAAACACGTTTTAAATATTTAGGGACTAAATCTAATACGCGTCTGTATGACTTCTTACTAGTAATTAACAATAATAGATATATTGGTTCTACGCGACTCTACGATTTTTATTAAGAATAAAATTTGCACGAACATTTTCCGAGAAATCTCCCGTACACCGCGATATTTTTTCCTTTTACTTTTGTAATCGTAAGGCGAAAAAAATAATACAGCTCATCGTTCGATTCAACGATAAAGTATAACAACTAGACTACGAATTTTACGCGTTTATAATATATTGGCATATACAAAACATAATATAAAAGAATTTCAAAAACGTGTTTAACTGATTTTGTAAATAGTTAATTTTGTTGCGGAATGAATAGAATCATCAATAAAGAAAATCAATTTTTCTTTGTATCTTTCGCTTTTGATAATTTATTAACAAACATTTGGCTTCTCATAAATATTCGCAGTCTAGTAATAATTATGGCAGCGCAGATACGTGTATTTTGTAACTAAAATTCAAAATATGCAGTTATTTTCATTTATCGTACACGTCCGATACCGCTAAAATAAGTTAGCAGTTAAATCTGCGATCAGGCTTACGCGAGTAGCCGCGTAATTTTATAGAGTTCTAATAGAGACGTTGATAATAATACTAATTAAACTGTGGATTGCACGCATTGCACCACAGATAGCTGACTAAAATAAAGTACAGCGAAAAGCAAAACAAAATCGAATAAAATTTTCATATTATTTGAAACCTTATTATGGACTAAACAAATTTCTGTTTTATTTAATCTGCAGTAAATTAGTCCATAAAGGTCTATTAGACAAACGTTTGCAGTCTGATGATAATAAATAACAATAATTACAGCTGCTTTTGCGAACTATTCGCGTAAACCGAGAATTTCTTGTACTTATATAAATACAACTAACAAATACGCTTACGTTAACATACCAGACGCGATTTCTGAACACTTTAGTCGTTTCATACTTTTTCTTCTTCTGTTAACGAGAGCCCCCGTGTCCCGCGAACTAAAATCTAACAAACTAACAATAACTGGTCGATTAGTAATAATACAAAAGGGAGTGGGGGTGGGAGAAGGAAGAAAAACAATGTCCCGTTGAAATAATACGAATTTTGCTCGTATTGAGGAACACGATAAACGTTCTCTTTGCATTGACGAGACACGATAGCCGTAGGAGAATAATAATGACGTTGGTTAGCTTGTTAAATTAATGATAGCCAGGGAGGAATATTTAAAATCGGAACGATTAATTCCTTCAGGAATCGAGAAAAACCGGTAGCAGTTAAAGGGGTGTTAACTCGAGCGATGGCTGGCCCATTTTCATTCGCAGAGTTGCCACGTCATCTTCTATTCGTACCAACAACTTGAATTTCTTGAAAAAGAACAAAACAATGGTATCTATAATGGTATCGTTAATTGAAACATTAATCAAACACTGCAACGACGATGTATGGCTCATAACTTACCGTTAAAAAGTCTCCTGGCGTTGTCTTCCATGCGTAGACCATGTAACCGGGTATGCACAACATGGATGATAAGGCGGTCATCCAGCCGAGTACGTGTGACCACCATGGATACTCATAATCCAAATACTTGACAGGTGTCCATTGTACCAGATTGAAGATGAAGACCCCCTGGACATCAAAGATCGATGTCAAAGTTTCATTGGAAATGGAAGAATGATGTGAAATGGCAATGGTAAGAATGGAGTTGAGGAATATTTTTACAAGAAATAGTTGGCATAAGAATTCGGTTGTTAACTTACAACGCAGATCAATGGAGTGGTGAACGTCCAACAAAGTTTCCACCACATCAGGGGATAATATCCAATCATATCCCTGATGGCATCGTAAAATCGGTCGACGCCGAAGGCCCAGCTTATTGAGATGCATTCGAAGAAAATTAAGAATAGAAGACAGAAACCGGAAACGGCGTACGAGTCCAGAATTTGGAAGACGTACATGCCACCTTGAGAGATACAAGAGAGCCCTATAATGTAAGAGAGTACGCAAACGATCGCTATGAAGATTTCCTTGCGTCGGCGAAGTAGCTGTGGCCACTCGTCCACCTTGAATCAACGAGTTCACAAGAGTCAGAATAAAAAAGGCAAAAATTACTTCTATTGAAACGATCTATTGAAACTTACCATAGCAGTAACAAATCCTTCCATGGTACAGAATTGCGAATCCAAACCGATGAGAAGGAGCATGAAGAAGAATAAGCACGACCATAGCGGCGCTCCAGGAAGTTGAAGAACCGCAGAAGGGTAAGCTAGAAAGGCCAATCCAGGACCAGAAGCGGCGACCTCTGCCACCGGTTTTTGCTGTTCGTGAGCCATGAAGCCCACCACGGAGAAAATCACGAAACCAGCGAACATGCTCGTTGACGAATTCACAGAACATACAATCAAAGCATCCTTGTAGACGTTGTTCGTGAATTTATTGTAGCTACCAAGCGCTACCAGGGTACCCAAACCCAAACCGTACGAGAAGAAAATTTGGGTAACCGCATCTATCCACACCTACGAAACAGAAGGAGCTTTTACCATTTCTATCACTGACACGTGACATATAAATGAACAGATCACCACGATGTTTGGTGAAAGTGTAATTAACGTTGTAGAAGTGGCTATATATTATGTTCTTTTTTATTGCCAGCAAAATATTTATCGTTGCTCTGAAAGTTCACATCGAAATGTTCATAAGTTCACATCGAAACAGAATATCTTGGATGAGACTTCCGTCGCATTTACCTCGGACTCTTTTAGTTTTGAGAGATTCGGACTGATGTAGAATCGAATGCCCTCCATGGCGCCGGGCAAAGTGATCCCACGAATCAAAAGGATCATTAACAAGACGTACGGGAAAAGGGAGGTGAAGTAAACGACCTTCCCGGTCCACTTAACGCCTTTCCAGATGCAGAAGTAGCAAAGGATCCAGACCAATAGCAACGTACCGGCCAGTTCCCAGCGGATGTTCCCTACGTGCTCTACGCCCTCGCTGATCTGCAGCGCTCGGCGTCTGGAAGAAGCTTGCGTAGAAAACGGTTTTCCTGCTTCCTTTCTTGATTCCGATCGAACACTTACTCCCAGAACTCTTTCACCGGGTCAGTGAGGTCCGTGACCGAGACATTAGTACCGTTCACGGAACATATCTGAACGATGTGCCATATCTGTGACTTATGGTGCCTGGTCGATTTGCCCCAGCAAGGCAACGAGTCTCTGTCGTAAGGATTCACACAGTACCTCGTGTTCCAGTAGTTGTTGCAGCTTCCCCATGGTAGCTCTGTTAAAGTGTCTCTTCGTTAATCGATTTATACGATTCTTCTCCTTAACATTTAACAATACTAAGCAAATTAGCTTACTGTCATGTACAACGATAAAGTTTTTATTCTTAATTTTATTGATTCTAAATCGATACAACGAAGAAGAGTCAGTGTGATTTAGTTTTAGACATTGAAGGAACTTCGATTTTAAAGAAGCAACGTATGGCGTACCGCTTCGCATGGACATGAAGAAGTAGAAGATTGCCCAAGCAAGGATGACGATGTAATAGACGTTCATCCAGCAGGACATGACGGCGGCTGCGTATCCGATGCCTTTAAACAGCGGCGCTATCTTGAAGACACCGAGGCCACCAACGGTGAGCATTTGGCCGAGGGCTAGCTCCATGAAGAACATTGGGATTCCAGCGAGCACCAGCGTTAGGAAGTATGGTATTAAAAAAGCGCCCCCGCCATTTTTATAACAGAGATACGGAAATCTCCAGACGTTTCCCAAACCGATCGCCAAACCGACCTTTAAAATTAGCTTTAATGAATCATCGTGTACTAAATATCGTCCAGGAGGAACGATGGAATTTGAAACATTACCACGCTCAAGATAAAGTCTAATTTAGTGCTCCATGTGCCACGTTCCGGGAGCGGTTTTTGCTTGCTGGACGTCACATTTAACGCGGTTTTGTCGGGATTTTCAGGATCCCCGAGCTCGGGTTCTCTCGATGCTTCCGTCATTTTGTGCTAGATCTCCGTCACCTGGCCTTGAAGAAGTTCCGTCGCTTCCGGTTTTCTTTCTCGCGTGTTCCTCCACACCTCGTACGACTACCGCGAATACATAACAGAGCTTCTGTTGGCAATAAGACAAGTCATCCATGTACTTTGTTCCTTATAATTTTGTTAAGATCTCTGACGATACTTTAAGAAATAATGTTTACCACTTTGACTAGCAAATTAACGCATTTTAAATCTGAACTTTTGGAAGATTTTATTCATTTAACTTTCTCCGATCACAAGAATCCAATAGATTTAAGAATGAACTTTTATCACCAGATCAAAAATCGAGTTATTTACTTCTGCCTGAATGACATGATAGTCTAAGTGCTAATCTTTGAACTACGATATTTAAGCAAAAATTGCGTTAGTAAGACACTGTAAAAATAAAAGTAGTATAACGTTCTTGTGCGTTTATTGTCTATTTTTAAGTTTCTAACGATTGCGACGTTAGGATAGTGACCTTTTGATTATTATGTTTGTAAACTACGAAAAATTACTGTCTTATGAAGGTTTATTATTTGGCCTAACCACAACTGATTTAGGAAAAATGAAAACAATAAATTAATGTGTTCTACCTTTTTCCACCTTTCCCTTCATAAAGTGGGAATTTTTTCAAATTTCGAAAAATTTTAGTAGACGCTGTGACATGATCGTGATTTTCTCAAGGTTCTCTTAAAGGATGAAATTTTTGGTAAACGATCCGACCGAGTTCTTGTTCCGATGACGGATGCGATTAGCGTTTCGTCGCGTGGAAAATCTGCGGAAGATTATTACCCTTCAAAATTCAAGGATACCAAATGACTTGAAACCAGGTCGAAGAAATTTTACCGCTACCTGACATATACTCTTGTATAGATCATGGTTTTATGAAAAATCCAATGATAAAAAATATTAGGAATTATTGGAATACAAGTTTCAAAGAGACAAACGTTTACGACTTACTTAACATCCAATTGTTTGAATAAGAATGTTCAAATTTTTAATTCGTTCCTAAGTACCGAAGTATCACATGTCACTTGGAAAAAGCGATTCTTTTCGGGTAGATGAGATTTCACATGCTTAACATGCCCTCCATTCATTTCAAACGACAAAGTACATTGGTACTAATAAGAAATGTCATGTTTAACGTTTTGATTTCCTCCACAACGGATGCGGAGCAGGGGAAGCCCAGAGAAGCCCAATTTACTCTTACAAAGCTTGTACAGCCGATGATTCAAGGTCCACATAGTCGCACCTCTTAACCTGATAACCTGTACAAAGATGATTGAAGACAAAGGAAATTCGATAAAATACGGTTGACAAACACGGTACAGCTTACATTAACACGAATCAAGTAAGAGAATCTTTAAATGCGATTAACGAGTTAATTCATAATTTGCGTTAACAAGTTAAGTGAAAGTAACGCGCGACACGCGCAACACTGAAATTACCGCGCAATCATGTCATATCTTATTACAACAAATTTTCATAGTCAATTGCTCTCTACAGTTGGTCAGTTTATAGTTTATTATATGCGCTGATACAAAAAATCATCTACAGCATCTTAAGAAAGTGTTTTCAGGTACCAGGCTCTGTTTAACAAATTTAATTTCGCCGAAAGTCCTTTCGCGATGATTCACACGATCATGAGCATTCCAGAAAAAAGGAAGATCGCGAAACATCCATGCAAAAGGTCGAACAAGCTGTTGAATAGCGGACCGATTTCGTATCCGCTCGTAAGGTTCCATTTGAAACGGCCCGTGAACCAGCTCATTCGGTCCTGCGATAGGAGAGTGCAGAAGACAATGGGAGGACCGGCACTCGTAGATCCGGGACCAATAAGAAAGAATTAAGGCGCAAAAGTAGCATCGATGCGACACAGTTAAATACGAATGTCCGGCTGGGGAACCCTATAATGAATATCCCGAGCCCGTTCCCCCAAAGCTCCATCCTTCCCCGGCCCCTTCGCGGCCGATCTATTGCTCGGCTCCCTCTTCCTCTTCCACGCTCATAAAAAACAGCTATATTCTAATTAACCGAGAACGCGTTGTTCCGCGTAACTGACATCGCCTGCGATCTTGAATTTCTCTGTCGGCTACGGTTAATCGGCCGAAAGTACGTGGGCCGGAATTAAAACTCGGGATCGCGGACATCCGATCGCCCGTCGATTTCCTGCCCCTTAGACGATGGACCCGGTTACACCGCACGTGTTACGGTAGAAAAGGTTTGTAAATCGTATACGAACCTGTTCCCAAACGATCTTCGATCTTAGAACACTGTCTGTATTCAGAACTTCCGGTCCCCGATAACACGAGCCCCTCTCCTTCGCCTGCTTCCTCGCGAGTTTCCGGCGGGAACGTTCGACGGACAGGAGACGATAGGAAAATAGAAGTTTAGAATAGACTACACGGGTGAAACGGTCGATTTCGGAACTTCAGTTCAGAGTATTCTATGCACTGTCACTGGGGCACTCCTGGTCCTTCACGCAACGTTCGCGTCAAACGGGCGGCATTTCCGAATGGAGCGTAGCTGTTCCTCTCCAGGTGAAGATCAAATGCACTCAGATTCGCGGTTCAATTTTCGGATCCAGAGATAGGGGCCGATCAAGAGTTGATTTCTCTCGATCCTGGCGGTCGTGGCGACAACACGGTCATCGATCACGTTCCCCTGAAGGAAATTGCTCTCGTGATTATTTCGCTCGAGGATGAGGACAACGGCGATTCCTTTTCTCTTTATATCGCCTTCCTAGACGGTCGTTTTCTGTTTTCTCTATATTCTTTTCGTCCCTTTTCTGTCAACTTCGGTTGAGCCTGCCTCGAAACGCGTCTTTGGAAGACGATGCGAATGCTCGGCCGGCCCGCTCAGAACTGGAATCGCGAGTTCGCTTTCGATGGCGAACTAGCTGAAATATCGGGGGTACGAAATCGGGGGATCCCCCTTTTCCTTTTTTGCCCCCGGTCCACCCTTGTCGTTTACATCGGTGTCACGCGTTTATTCCGCGCGCGCGGTCACTCGCAGCCGGCGGAGCGCTCGCGCGGACACGCGCGCGCGCGCAGAGCAAGAGGGGACGAGGAAAACAAGGAGAAAGAGGGTCACCAAGATCGCAGCAGTATATCATCATCAAGTTGACGGCTATCCCGGCTGCTGTGCTCTTTATTGTCAATGTTCCGATACATGCGCCCGCCCCGCGCCACTACATGTTTTCTTTTTTTACACGCCCGCCCCCGGGAAAAGTATCAAGCGAACGCGCGGAATTAATTGCCGCTCCTTGGGTCTTGGGGCTCCTCGCCGAGCATGGTCGGAACTTCCGCCACCAATTTCGATTTCAAGACACGAGTGTATGGATGAACGAGTTTTCGGTTAGAGGAACCTCTTGACTCTTTTTATATTGTTCTATGTTTGTTTTGAAAAATTGAGAATAAATGGGAGTATAGGCAATAGCAAGAGTATTAAAATTCATATCAACTCGAGGAATCTATGTGTCTGGAATTCGGAACTTGAATAAATTGCATGTATCGATATATTTGTGTAGTGCAACGTTTGAATAAAAAAAGTAGTTTACTTGGAGAAGCTCTCTGCTGATATTAATATGATACTCAATTAAAATTTTTACGAAGCCTAAATTGACGTATAATTACAGAGAACATGTTGTCTTTTGTATGACCTACATACGAAAGATCACCGGAAATGTTTGTAACAGCTGTATGATCATTGACAGAAATATAATAGAAATAGTAGTACATAGTAGCAACAGAAACAGTGCTGATCATTTTTGTGTAATAAAATACCAAAAAATTTGAATGCGATCCATTATTTGTTTCAAACTTCAATTTCACTTCTTTTTGTCATAGTGGCAAGCACTTTTTGGAGAGTTTCCAAACTTCAAGGTAAAAGTCAAACAATGAAGTCAATTAGTAATTTTCATCATGAAAGTGTAATCGGACGTACTGATGAAATCTTATTATTCACATGGAACTGCCTAATGAGTTCAAACTTCTTCTTCTACAAGAACTGAGAAATAATTGATTAATCGTAATTCTACTGGTGATCGTCGTCATTAGCGGATTGCGTTCTCCTGGTGTACCAAATTTCTATACTTTCCGACGAAATGGAAGAGCGCGTTAAAGTAGGTGAGCAAGACTAGGAAGCTAGTATATCCGGAGGGTTCACGTGACACCGATCTATCGCTACATCCGTTCTGGGTACACACTGTAATATAGATCATCAGGATGATCGACATTAACTCACACAAATCCCGAAGCATCTACTATAGATAGAAACCAGCCGTTAGGTCGATCCAACGCCGCTGAATGATATCCGAAGGATCAAGGATGTTCGAATAAATTTGATTATCTGATTATGTTTTCACGTAACCGGAAGTAACGTCCGAAGACTCGTATTCGCTGGAAAATACGAAAAATTTGATCTTGAACTTCGATCATCTGGGAATAATCAAACTTCCGATCGTGACTCATCGTACTTTCTTCAATTTGCAATGTTTTCATAAAACAGGAAACTTTCGGTGGGACTAATTTCTATACTTTGCGCACGAGCGTGCACGCGCGCGCGCGCACATGGTTTGATTGCTCGTTAACGGGCAGCACGGCAGAGGGGAGCATCCCCAATGACCAGAGGATGTGCGGAAAGTGGCGCGGGAACCACGTTAAGAATCGCTTTGCGGGTCAAATCTTTTTTTTTATAAGTCGAACCATCTTTGATTCCATGGAGCATCTTAACTCATTTAAGCTTAAAATTTTTATGTGATTCTGTTCTCAAAGGGTTTAATGATATAAAATACAGTTATCATTTGTAGAAGAAATTAATTATGCATTGACTGTTATATCAGTTAACTGCAGGCATGACAAATATGTAAAAATATGTAAACAACAGAGACTATAAAAGGTCGAGCGATATAATTTTGTTACAGTAGTTTATGAAGGAATCTTGGAGAAGTTTTTAAAGAAGGTAATGTGTTGAAACATGGATTTATTACAATAATGTATGATACATTTACATCTGAGAATATAATGATAACTTTTTCATACCAAATGTATCCGTCAAATTTAAATATCATTTTCGAATGCTAGCTACAAATTATTGAAAAGAATTGGAGTAACAATTGAAATAACGAAAAACTGATGGAACTACATATTATATTTATCTCAGGTCGTCCCTCAATGACATTTACTGTAGTACTTAGTAAGTTACGCACATTTTATTAGTTGTTTTGAAAAATTATAAAAATTTTACGCTAATAAAGAGTAAAAGTATTTAAAATATTAAGTAAGTAATTATACTGTATACGTCATGTGATATTCTTCATTCGATGAAATATAGGTATAATTTATAAAGTTTCAGTAGTATTCATTAAAGTAGACAATAACTTGTGTACTGTCGTTCTAGTTTATTAATATATTTAATATACCATATATTAATATATTTTACAAACAATATTTTATATTGCAATAAATTTAACGTACTTCAGGTTACGCTGAAGATAAAAATAGATTTCAAGTTCCCAGCCATTAGCTCGGTAATATCCTTGATTCATACTACTTTATGCTACTGTGTGTGATACACCAGATGGCCTGTATTGGCAAAATATAATAAAAGTAACAAGGAGATCTGTACCGCCATCTGTGTCAATACTTCCAAGTTATTTGCTAATTCCTACAGACTTAAGATACGTAGAGATTACGTATCTTAAGCACAGATGAGGTATAGGATAGATATTGCAAGATTATAGGATTTATGTAGTGTCGCATGTTCTGAATTACCGACTGTGTAAAAAATCAGAAATTTCGCTCTGCCCTCTATGACTAAAAATTCTGGGTGTAAATAATGTCAATATTTGTATCAGCCATTTTTTAATAAAAGTTTTACTTTAATAAAATATTTAAATTGCTTTGAATGGAAACATATATATTTCACACACATCACGATAATGTGGGGAGATTAGAGCTTAATCTGTTTCACGGTATACCGTTAAAAAATAGTTACACGAATACGAAACATTTTCATTTCTTTTTTGCAACAGTGTACTTATTGGTATTTAAATGTTAATATTTTTAATTCTCATTTCTATCATTTATAGCGCTGCCATACAAAACCAGCCTTAGTCGATATGAGAGGGCGTGACTTGAAAATGGTAAGGGGTACTAGTACCCCCGAGACAGTATGACTAAATTTTACATTCATGTTTTGTGTATCCTATGTTTCGTCTGTGGTACCAGTTAAGTGATATTACGATTTTACCTACTGCGTTTTAGGTCACAGAATATTGTAATATAGATGGGAATACTATTCTTTCAAACGTCTTTTGAAAATCAAGATTAAATTGACAACTAAATATTTTATTATTAAAAAGATTCATATCATTATTAAAATAAAATTCATATTACCTTATTGTTGTTGCGAACCTGTTTTGATAAAACTTAGTATTGTTTGAATATAATGTTAAGTGGTCAAGATATAGACGGTTATATGAATAGAAAATATTCACAAGCATGAAAGTTGAGGAAGACGAATCACTTTGACAAGGCAGTAAAATTTGTTTTTGAAATATTTTAGACGCTGTACCAATTTCAAGAAATAAAACTCAGTTTTCAGAAATTCATATATTCATTTATTATACAATGTCAGTGTATATTATAAGTATAAAATTTAAGATCTGTGAGTACAAACTAACTCTTACTGTTACATTTCAAGCTTTTAGTGTCATTTTTATCCTCTGTGTATTTTTCATGTTAAGTAGCACTGGAGAAGGGATAAGTTGATACTAGGAATTTTATTCTAGTGATATTTTCAATCGTTATGAGAAGTTGCGCTTACATAGTTGATATGTGTGTGGAATGTAATGACATGTGTGTTTTATGGTGAATTGAAAGTGTTTTTTGCAATTCGTGGTTTAGTTATCTTTTGATGGCAGTGTTTACGTGTCGCGTGGTGCCAACGTCACTACAAATATGAGTGGTGCATCACGTCAAGTCAAAAATCCATTATTGTCAGCTGCCGGTGAAGGTTTTCCTTTTGAAAATTATGCTGAAAATGCATTGCTGGTGCCTGTTACGCCAGCTACACCTGCTGTACTCCGAGATGGTGAGTTAATGAAAGAAACACCTGGGTGGGGCTTTCGCAGGTTTATATGTTCGTAATCTTGTCAACACGTGACGTGATCATCTGTACGTGTGACATATCATAAAAGTATTTAATCAAAATGTAAAACAAGTTGATCGTGTTTGTTTCATTGTTCATTCTCTTGATCCATTTTCACATGACTGTAAGGAATGTTTATATTTAGCTAAATATTTGTGCACGAATACAGTTTGTTTGATCAATGAAAAAAAACTAATTCTATGCGTGGTCAAAGTCATTCTATTTTCCACACTGTAAAGTAATTATGTTTGTAATCTTAATTTTATTTTATACACTTTAAAATCTGTACTTAATAAAAAATTAGTGCTTGTACCTCTTTTCAATTGTATCACAGAATGAAGTGTTATAATTCCATAACTAACTAATAGAATCAAGCTTTTGCTAGAAATGCTGGAAAGATATTTGCTCGAAACAATAATATTACAACAAATAAACATCACACTAATTATGTTAAAAAATTTATTAGTGAGGTTTAATATTTACATTCCTTGCTATACTTACTACAAATAAAATGTACATCAATTTCCATTATAATGAATATGCATGTAACTCACATTTATTTTTGTATGCCTAAACGGTATAAGTAATAAGTTAGAAAGTAGTTCCCTCTGTATTTACTGGTGGTCTAGATCCATATCTTTGTGTGTAAGGTAAATCGAGGCTTTTTCTTCTGCGGATACAATATATTATTAATATGATAATAAAAATAATTAGTAATAAAGCAAGCAATGCTCCCACTGCAATTGCTGCTATTTGTGCTTCAGACAAATTATTCCATTCTGAAAAAAAGATAATGTGTAAAATGTTAAACTACATTGCTTTTTTAATAGATTCTTAATGTATTGATCATACTAATACTTATATGTAAAATTAAAATCTATTTAATTAAACAAATCTTAAATAAGTTTCATTTACAAAATAATTACAAAGGTACATATATATCAAATGTGTTGAATATAATACACATATTACCTGTAACATCTATTGTAATAGTGTTATAATTATCCAATAAATCTATCGCTGTAATTTTAGTTGTTGTGTCGCAACATGTAGCAGAATAAAAAAATGTTACGAGGCTTCTTGTACCACTAATGAATTCTGTGCGAGGATAAACATCATTTGATGATGAAATTACACGTTTCAAACCTATATTAAAAATTAATATATTGATGTATTTATTTTTTCACTATAAGATATACAAATAATAATTCTTTTAATACTATATCCTTTATTGATTACAAGAGGTATAATTAGTACCTGAATCATAATCCTGAATTGAAATGTCCACGCTCCAGCGAGATTTATAACAATGATTTTTATCTAATTTTCCAGCACAGTTATTATTGAAAGAGTACTCAATTTTTGGTTTTACATCATCAGTTAACTATATATTGCATATTATAAAATTAAATTAATTTAGAATTTTTTTTCTTTCTCAATGAATACATTTCCACAGTATTTTATTATGACATTATTTTGTGTTTATCATTACCTTTGAGAGCGAACCTTGTACATATATATATGCTGACTTTTCCTTTATTTCAGTACCTTGGATAAATAAGGTAACTGTATTAGCTGTATCGGGTGAAGTGTTATCAGGTATAACTATATCAACAGCAATGCTACTCATTTGTCCAGGATATATCCATGCACTGGAACAAAATGTAAATAAAATTAAAACAGTGTAAATAATTTTATTAGATTATTGCAAAAAGGAAAAAGATACTAATGGTAATATGATGTAGATTATTAAAGAAAAAAGATATTGCTTTTTTTAAATTGATGAATATTGTTGTAAAATTCTTTACAAGCTATAATTGAGATAAAAATGATTTATTGTTTTCATCACTCTTGTATTTTTGTTAAAAAAATATCACTTTCTTTTATTAAAAATATTATTTTTAATATTCGCATTTCTACATAACTTAACAATGTTTTTAGTGTCATTACACTTGTAAAAAAAATTAATTGAATGTATGTAACTATATTGTAAATAGAATATAACTAATTATTTTTATCTATTAAAATATTAATTAAAGGAAAGATCAATTGAACGAATAATTGATGTAAGAACCAGTCAGCTGTATTTTTTGATGAAAATTGATTTTTCGGTAAATTTTAACTAAATTTTACAATGCCAGCTGCAAGCTTTTGCAGTAAAAATTAGTTAATACATCAGATAGCTGAAACTATTTATCAGCTCTCGGAGCCTGGGCATACTTTTTTCACCACGCGATCGAGTATCGGTTTGATAGAAAATGTGAAAGAAATGCAGAAGTCTCGTATAAGAATATATCACGAAAATTTACATTTGTAGAAGTTAATTAGAATATGATTTTTGACTGTTCAAAACATTTTCAAAGTATTTCTAAGATAAATTTTGTAAATCAACAAAAAGAAAATTTTACAATTTCTAAACACTACATTTTAATACGAGGAATCTTCCAATCTTTGAAAATAAAATTTCTACTTTTCTTGTTTGTAAAAAAAATACATAGTATCTAGTATTAATTAAACAGAAAAAAGATTAATCGTTTCTTTATTAGCCGAAAAACACGTACCGATGAATAATTTTTGGTATAATATCATTTTAATTAATGGATTCAAATTTAGAATTACAAACCCATACAGACAATAATAATTGAGTATTAGACATGTACGTATAGAATTTCTGATTATTATTATTTGTATGTTTAATGGTAAATAAAACTTCATTTACAGATTTTTATTTGTCTAGTTTTACTTTGGTAGAAGAAACGGACAGCTCCAAAGGAGAAAAAAGAAATTGGATTAAAACTGTTGGTATTAATTAAATTATTTTTCTTGAAAAATTATACAATATTTACGCATTTAAACAATTTTTAAAAAAAGTTTCGCTGAATTTATTTAATTAAATGATTTTTCATTGACATTGTAAAGTTTTCAGTAATGAAGCTGACTGATTGTGGCCTAAGCCCTTCAATTACAAATAAACGAAAACCGATTGCATGATAATAATATAAAATATACGAAATATAAAAGTGTTTATATTGATAACTCACTATGCAGGTTGCAGGTTATACACTCTGAAAGGTGTACTTCTAACTCTGAATCCGTATCTGACAGGTAAAACGCAATTGTTCATGACGTCAAAAACAATTCTGTGTATTGTTCCCGGTACAGCAATTAAATTAGAATTTCTGTTAACGTCTATGAGCATCTTTTTTTCTTCAATGGTATTTCCGTTTCCGTAAGTCACCGATTCTTTGAATAATTCTCCGTTGTCTAAAGTTTCTGCCATTTTCATAGGCATGCTAGCATTGTGCACTGCTGCCATCCTGATATCAGTGTCAACGTTTTCGTTCAATGCAATAGAGGATCTTGTACGAATCTCTTGCTGCTTCTGAATTGAAATTAGAATGAACTCAAAAATACAGTAATTAATACTTTCATTTTGGTTGGTGTGTCAAATAAATAGGGAAGGTCGGAGTAAGATGGCCATACTAAGTGGAAGTAAGCATAACTGTCTTTTTTTTATACAAAAAACTGCATTTTAGTAAAATAATATTGTACGCATTAGACATAAATATATGCGTATAAAAAATAATAATTTTAATAGTATTATTTCTTATGTGTATAAATAAAGACTAATTTGTGAGTAAATTGACCAACTTATCCGACTAGTGTACAATAATATGCGAATGATGTTTATTTAGTACTGCTTTAGAATACAATTTATGTAAAATTATTATTAATTGATTCTAAACGAGAGAAGGTCTATAATTCATTCGATAAAGATTATGTTGATATCAGATTGTATATTTTCATTTGAGAGCTTTTTATGGGAGAAATAAAACTACAGCAAAAGAATTCTTTCATCTGAATATACATTATTAAATAAAACAAGTAATGATCATTGTACTAATAATTTCACGATTAATATTAATGAGCTTGTTCCGACGTAATATAAGTATAAATATTTTAATTATCAATCCGAAGAAGCGTGTTTCTTACCTCTGCTGAAATTTTTTCATCGAAAGACTCGCTAAGATTATTCATAGAATCAGATACATTTTGATCGTTATCTGGAAAAGTAACATGCTCGATGTAGTTAATGTGCATGCTTCTAATATTAGAAGATTGTGGAGAATCATTGTCATTAAAATTTTCCAGTGATATTTCATCGGTATCCTCTTGTGTAAGCAACGTATGTTTCAAAGATCGTTCGCGGGTTACCTTTTCATCATTGACCAATTTAGAATCGACTCTTACGTTCGAACTTTGTTCTTCTAATCTTATTACTTCTGAATAGAGCATCTGAGAAACAAATATTATCCACATACACTATTAACTTTTTTTGTGTCTTGTAAATACATAGTAAATACGCAGGATGATAGTAATGATTCCTTCCATTATTGACATACCTTTGTCGAATCATTCAAACTTTTGTCTTTTTCTAATTTTATAGAGTCATCCCTTTTAATATTCAGACGTTGTCTCGTAAATGGTGGTATGTTAAAAGTACCTGTAAGTAAAACATTTATGTAATACTTAAAAACGTTTGTCATTACAAATGGAGCAGTGAATTTCTTAGAAATGTCTGTTTATTTACATATTTGTAAGTATATATCTAACATATATTGTGTTTTTGCATAACACTATTCCCTTAGTCAACAAATTGTTTGAAAACTTTTTAAAATAAATTCAAATGAATAATATATCACTTGATATTTTTTCATTGACATATGTTCATGTGGAAAGTTTTAATTTCAAATGTAACTTATTTCAGTACTGTAATAGTTTCCCTTTTTATTAAAGTTCTATATATATTAATAGTAATTATCTTTAAACGATAAGAGATATCATGTATTTGTTATTTTATTTTTTAACTAAATGCAGTTCGTTAATGCATACAATTTATTTACACAACTAATAATGGAACCTTTTAATTTTCACAATCAAGGATAACAATTTTCGTATAAGCATTCTATTGTTTCGAATTATCTGGAAATCAACACGTTCGATCACTTCGTAAAGAAAACTGTAAAGTATTCGTAAAATAAGGAAGTACATAAAATTTCGAAACCAAATGTTTAATATAATTCTTTAAACTTGAAATATAGATTAATTGAAATTTCATTTTATTACACATTATGTGGTATGTGTGATATAAAATGTATCTTTTCGATAATACACAGAAACAAAATTCAGAAAACAGTTTTGTAGATTCTACAAGAGTGATAACATGTTTCTGCGTTACTCCCTTATTCTTAACATTTTTAAAAGTTAATCATAGTCCACCCTCTTTATCGAAGGCAAGTTATGTATGTTATATGAGAAATAAAATATTTGTAATTTCGATATCAACTTTAACAATATAATTTTCGTGTTAGCCCCGAATTCAAAACCGATTTTAAATCGAAAAACTTTTCATTAATCAATTAATCTTTTCCAAGAAGAAATACAAAATTATATTTACAATCTATAAAATGAAAGTACTAAAGTATAGTCCAAAATATAATAACTAAAATATAAAATTAATATGAAAGAGCATTTTAATCGGATACATGTCTCGGTATATTTAATTAGGGACCATCAATAACATGTATAAAATTTGACATGATATGGATTGACACTTCTGCGTATTTCGTAGTTTATATACATCGGTATGACGATATTGTTATCCGTGCCAGTTTCAGTTATTTAACAAAACATCAACGCCAGCTTAACACTGACTGGCTGACACGGTTTTATTACGTCAGGTAAAGTTAAAGCAGCCCAGTTAAGTATATGCGAAATCTCAGGCAAAATACACGGTCAAGATACGTTAGTGGATAATAATAGAATAGTGCGTAAGCTAGGGGCGCAGCTACGTGGTCAGCCTCTTTCAATTCCCACACATTGTGATTTTTCTAATTTATTTTACAACAGCAATGTCAAAATTTGACAAAGTCAGTGCGATTAAGTCCAGAAAACAAAAATGGGCAAGAAAAGGGCTTTCTGATCTAAAAAAAAACAAAGAAACAAGTCAATCCTTTAATAACTAAACAGAATATTATTTATTCAATTAAAATTGACAAAAATCAAAAAATATAAAAAAATCGACTTAACCGCATTGGTTTCTGAGCAACTCATATCACGATTGCTTGATGCAGCTTGTCGCGTATAGGTTTGCCTATGCACGTACCGTTGTATCAAAATTAGTATGATTGTGTATTCATATGTATTGATTAATGCCTCATTAGATGTGCAAAACGAGCTTATAGTTGACCGTTGTAGCGCCGAGGCTTCAGCTTATACGTATCTTCAAATGTAAAATGTGATTAATCACTCCATTACATGTTTTGTAGAAATATCAAGTCGAAGAAATATGTTTTGTTAATTGTACAAATTAGAAATATGCACGGGATAACATTCTGTTTTAGTATTAGAAATATGCACGAGATAACATTCTGTTTTAGTATTAGAAATATTAATGTATTTATATGTCTTTTATGAATTTTCAATTAATTTAATCTTTCGCGTCTTAGTATCTCGAAATATCATTCATAACTTGATAATGTTATAAGCTAACAAATTACAAATTAGATTATTACCAATTTATAAAACCAATTACCAATATTTGCTTATCCGAATGTTTAAGTCACTTACGATTAGTCTGGCAAAACTAGCCTTGACTGATTTTAATCTTTTAAGAATACTGCTACATCTTAAAATTAGCATTTTTAAAATTACTTGAATGTTTCACGTTAATAGAGTAATTGAATATTTTATTATGTGAGAATTGTTAATGTTATTTTTACTAATTATCACTAGTAGACTAAACATATTTATGCAAATATAAATTTTCGCTGATTAATGTATAGAAATCAAAATCGAAGAAAAAAGTTCTTTATTCTTCTAAAGATTTGTTTACATTACAGCGAAAGTAAAAAAATTACTAAATAATTTGCTATGATCGAAATTTACGAAAGTTGAAGCGTTATAAATGCATAAAATTAACAATCTGTTCGTGACAAAGGGTAGCACTGTATTCATTTCGGAATTATGTAAGTGTTTCAAAACGTAGAAATAACATTCCTGATATAAAAAGTAGTGGTATAAAAATACGCAGACTGCTTCTCGAAAATATTCGAATTCCAATATTCCAACTTCTATTCCAATTCGTTTAATGTTTCTGTTCTGAAGCCCTAGAAAAAATAATCTATGATATCATAGAGAAAATAGTTTTAACAAATCACCTTGTAAAACTATACACATTCAAATTTATATTACGTGCAACCTGTAATATACAACACATTTGTGACAGTGCCATACCTCGAATAAACACGATCAGATCGTATGACAGCCCTGCACAGATTGCGGTTTTCGTTCAGCCGATCATACAGCGATGTAAACTGAAAATCGTCCTCTTTTCTCGCTTACTTATACATCTCAATGAAACCCATTAAATATGAATAAAATATATTCATAATCTCTATGAAAGTATTATAACTTTATTATAATGAAGTATTATTTAACACTAAAACTACTAGATAGGTCAAAATGATTCATTCCCGATTTCTTCCTTTTGTAATTACTGAAAAGATAACACGTTTCTCTGAGAAATTACCAACGAAATTAATTCAGCAATACGCAAACATAATTAATAGAAATCTTAATAGATACACTTTTAGAGTTTCTATAAGATAATTTCAAAACACTAATTTGACTGTTCGACAGTTTCAATGTTAAAAATATAAATTTTTTTTGGTGTAATAGCAAAGACACGAAGACATTTAAAAAAGACGATATGTCTTATATCTTTAGGGTTCCTTTAAACTATTATCCTTCCATCTGATCTACTTTATGTTTGCCCTACAGCATAATAATTGATAACAAAAAAATAATATTTAATTTGATTTCAAAGGGATTCAGTAATATTTATGTTCGTCAAGTTCTATTTAAAATGTTCACCACAAGTCTCACACGTTATTGTACAGCAAGGGGTTAAAGGTTAAAATTAAAATTCCGAATCTTTCTCGAAAACAGCGCGTTCGGACCGGTAGACTCCAACAGCTCTTTTCTCCATCATGGTCTTTTAATCACATGCAAAACAAAATATTTATTAGTCTTGTCTCTTCCTGGGTCCGGCGCAGCGTGCGTCAGCCGAACGCGCGTTAGCTCTTGAGCAAAGGGCAGCCTCGCCGCGGGTTGCACAACAGTGGCGCGTATCTCTTCGCCAGAAAGCGAAGACTAGTTTGCCAGTTGTCAGACTGGCGAAACGTTTCGAGTGGAGTTCCGAATACGCGCTGCGGAAACTAGCTCCGGTGTTCGTGCTGATGAACTTGCGGGACGAACGTTCAGCTCGTCGTAGTTTCGCGGGTAATTGATCGTTTCCGTGCGTCGATTGATCAATCGATCGATCGATCGTGGTACCAAAAGTTGCATCAGGTCGAGAGCACTTCGGAATTGTGTCAGTGGTTACGTTTAAATCGCAGATAGATCGGCGTGATCCGGACAACGGTAAGTTGATCGGTTGTGGCGGTGACAAATGTGGATGTTTGCACAAATTCGAGCATTTGCATTGTAATTTAACCGGATAACTGTGGAATTTAGCTTGAAAACTTTCTCGTTGTGCGCGCGATAAAAGGAAATAATAAAGTGTATACTCGTCAAACGCAGAATAAGTGTAGCGAAATGAAAAATTACACGTTTATCCGAAAAAATATATAATTTTTCGTTGAAAAAATTAGTATTATTTTGCGTTTTCAGATGACGTGTATACTCGTCGAACTCAGTTAACTGGTTAACTCTTAGTAGAGCGATGCCACAATATACGAGACGTTCGAATTGACACATTGACTTCGATGGGAAACAGCACCGTTTTATGTATCATTTATTCTTTTTCTTATTTAACATAAAAAGGAAGAATTATTAGCTTTGGTATCAGAATTCTTGCATTACACTATTATCTAATTATCTACACTACTGGATGTTTTTATTCTACATTAGTTATCTGACAAGTTATAATTATTTCTTTTGTAATTTGAAAGCTCTGGCCCTGCGACTGTGGCAGTCAACGTGTTAACAATAAGTATACATATTTTCATTGAGTATCTTTCAATATCCGATTTTCGAGATCTAAATGGATGAATATGAATTTTTCTAGAAATAATAAAACAAGTTGAACAATATACGTCCGCAAACCTGGTGTTAATAAATGAAAGTGTTGTGTCGCGTGTATTGCAACTAAAATTCATTTTATGATCTTTTTCGTTATTGTTATCAGTGTTATATTCTCAATGAACGCGTTAAGTATTACGTCAATTCTTTGTGAAGAATTGATAATATTTTCGTTCGTTATCTGTATATTCTATGCAATGCAGTAAACAGGCTTAACGCATTCGTAACATGTTCAAATACCCTGGCAAGTGTCAATGGGGTCTAATTTAAATAGGCTAGTAGTAGGCTAGTAGTTAGTGGGGTAGCGTAATTAACAGTTTCATACAACTTTTAAACAATTATGTAAGATTAATCGTAAACATTTTTATCCGATTATATGATTTATATACGATGGTACGATTTATATAGTGAAACCACTTGTTGCAAGTACAGCTCGCCATATTATGCGATTAGGTTAATCCCTTGCCTTGCAATATCGTGTCAGATTCGCAGCGAAAATTTCTAATATAGTTGAAGAAACATAAATGTCAATGCATTCTTTTGAGCTTAAATGAAACATTATGTTTCCTATTAGCAATTTGTATGGTTTAGAGTAAATCTAGACATAGAAAGAGCATGGATTTTTTAATTTTATTAGTGCATTATTAACGATAACTAGTTCTAACAAATGAAATTGCGAAATTAAATCGTAGGGTAAGGGGTTAAAATACTTCTGCATGGTTAAGGGTTAATAAACTGAAAGGAAAACCCATTTTCTAGTTTGTCAACAGTATTGTTCTGTTGCAAAGAGTATTCAGATGTTACGGAGATTCATGGAACTGTTTTTGCTCGCCGAGAATGACGTGTTCAGTGGAAGCATGGCCGCAAAAACATTCGCAGTCTATTGATGAAGCGTCTATGATTTCATGATACTCGTGATGAATTATATACTTTTTATTCTTGAGCTTTACACCTGTTGCTGGTCACCGGATGCGAAAAATCGCGTGTTCCATGATATCCTCGTTAAATTATTGAAAGGATTTCTTTCCTTTTGTAAATCAGTGTAAATGTGTTTGAGTTCAAATACAGAGATCATTGGTTTGAATGGCGAGATGCGCTGTTGCTCGAATGTTTCGGATTATTTATAATATTCGTGGTTTATGACAAACATTGCAATTTAAAGTATTGTAATTCATTGAATCTTGTCTTAAACGCGTTCGCGACCAGCATTTGTTTCAGTATCAATCTTCGCGGTTACAATATTTCATTGAACTATAAATATTTTATTAAAATATCATATACTTTAAATATAAATGTTTTATTAAAATTCATGAGAACAATCGCGACAGATTTCCACATCTTATACCATGCGTTACGATTTTAAATGCCAACATTTGTGAAAGTAATTTAATTTACGCAAAATGCAAAATATTCAGTGCCATAAATATGTGATGCTGGTCGCGAACGTGTTAATGGTTTTTTAGTAGATTTATTAGTGGTTCCTTTCTTGTTATGTTGATATGAAATCATTCTATTACACTGTTCTTTATGATGATATTTAAAAAAAAAATTTCTTTCATAAAAATCACGTAAAGTAACTCGTAGAAGAGTTTTCAAAAAACTTAGATTAAAAGTTGTTAACTTACTTCTACCCTTTTATTTAGGTACTAAAAATATATGTGTACAAGTATAAATATTTATTCTTATATCTTTTATTGAAAAGTCATAGTTCTCTTTTCATCAAAGAAGATTTTAACCTTTTGAGTGGTAGTGTATCTTGGAATTTATTTTCTCAATGTTTCTAATGTTATTTGTTACTATTCAGCAAGGGATAGTAATCTTATTATATTTATTCTCTGAAGACGATTCGTCGCCTATTTTTAAACGATTATTTTAAAAAGCCTCAAGTTCATCAACACTAGGAAATATCGTTCCAGATGCTATTGAAAAAACAAGTTATGTAGTTCCTGGTATTGCAATCAATTCTTTACATAAGATATGCTATTACGGTATCCTGTACAGTTATTATGATACTTATGATTGCCAGGTGTTAAATGTGTTATGTCGTCCAATTATATTGATTATAGATCCCCGGTAGAATTTTCACTTTTCTTCTCGCATGACATATTCAAATCAATCGATAAATATCATCATATAAAAACATCATATGTCATTATATACAATCAAAATAAAAATGTTACGTAAATGTACAGTTACGTGAAATTAGGCGTAATTTACCTGTATTGTACATCAGTGTTTTCTTATTTCGCGAATATTTCTATTGAATGTTCGAAATAATGAATTTAGAATTTTATATTTTTAAATGAATAAATTTGTAATAAAATCGTTTCTTTATAAAAGTAATCTACAATATACATATTTATTTAATATATGATAAAATACTATTGGTTTCATGATAAATCATAAATAAATTTTCTTTTAGTTGCAGTTTTAAATAGCGTCAGACTGTTTAAAAATGTATTTTGTAAATACTTTCTCTGCTATTAAAAGTTGTTGAAAATTAAATAAATTCATATTAATAGAAACAATGTCGTTCTGCGTGGAATAATTAGTGCAAGATAAGAAGATTGATTTTAAATAATTCAGAACCAGGTCTTATCTTTAGAGGTCTTATCAACGAACGGTGTTGAAAACACATTTTCAAGTATAAATTTGATTATAATCTCAAGGAAATACTCATATTTGTTTTATATCGACTGGAACATGTTTACTAACGAGCAAAGCATTTTCTGGCCTTTAATTATTTGTAGTCATCGAAAAATCAAATGAGATCATTTGAATAAATTATTTATACTTTACAAAAATAATCCAGAGAATTCTTTCACTGGATAGCATAATCTTATATTTTGATTCAGTAGTGTAACAGTTTCTTCCGTGAAGTTACATAAAACATGTTTTACAAACATTTGCCATTTCTAACTTTCACATGATAGATTTTCCTTCTTTACGCTCTATTTATTAATGGTGGTATTACGTATTAATTAAAAAACAGAATATTTTATCATAACTATGCATAAAACACATAACATTTTGAACGATGAAATATTGAATAACGTCATTATATAAAACATTTTAAATTAGTGTGATTTTTAATGTAATAATTTGCATTTCAGTATTTGGTTATTTTAATAAGTTGGCGAACTGAATGCGAAAAGCACTAGTTTCATTATTTTAACAAAATAAGTATATTTTATGTTTTGTCTATGGTGATAATAGAAAAAGTATGAGATATAATTATGATATAATTTGCAATGGTAATTTATTCAATGCGTACGTTGTAAAAATTGCTTACATTTTCAATAGTTCTGTAGTAGTTACGTAAACATAAAAATTAATATAATGGTACTTATAATTTTAAAGCAGTAAATATACATATACGTACACTTTTATTATAATAAAGTATCATTTTGACATTTTATTCATTTATATAAGGGCTCTATACTGTCTGTTAAATAGTATTACGCGGACTTCAAATAAAACTAGAGAAATCACAATAGAAAATAAGGAAGAATGACTATAATTGTATAAAATGTAAAAAGGAGAACATTTCCATACAAACATTGTTTACACTTATCTGTTACACTTGCTCATAGGTTAAGGAATCTGAGTTTAAAATCTCAGTTTATGTCCTTTTTGTTAGTTTATAATTAAAGGTAATTAATATCTATTAATTCTCTGACAGTCGCAGAGTCAATGCTTTGTATATATTTACATATTTAGTTCATATGCGGTATATTTTTACACATTATCTGCACCTACACTCTCCCCTCCTTAAATTTCTTATAACAATAGAATTATCGATTGTCCGTTTTAATTGGGCCACCAATAGATAAACAGAGACTCGAGAAGAAATCGTTCAGAATATATTTGTAAAATTCAAATTCTTCAAATGGATTGAAATTATTGGGTTCTAATTTAATCAAGACTCTGGACAATGTAAACTGTGGTAAATAGTAACTCGGTTAATTCGTATTTTACTGTATTCTATCATTTTTGAGAAAACTAATAAAAATCTAAATAAAATAAATATCATTCTCATCTATAAGTCTCTTTTGCAGTACCTGTTATTTTAATTCAAAATGACCCAGTAACCTACGTCACAGTTCTAATTTCCTTTCAAGAGTTAACTCTTCATCGCCAATATTTTTCATCATAAACATTCATTATTTTCTAATGAAATATTGACAATATTATTTGATACTTACATAAAGTAAGTGCAAATTTTGCATAAATTGAGGAACAAAATTATTTTATTTCTTTGTTTCATATGTCGGTAGCTCATCCAAAATTTAATACTCAATTTTTAATTTCATACTTTCCCCGCTTTAATTCAAATGGCGACTGAGAGTAGCCTCTCAAGTGCAAAGAGTTAACACTAGGTTTACTGACATTTACTGTACAGTTGATACGATCGTTCCTCGAAAACTTGATGCCCGTTCATTTAAATCTTGGAAATTAGAGGTTTAAAAACAGACAATTAAAATCAATATTTATTAAATCAAAATCGATATTTATTAAATAATGTTTATAAAACTCAATATGCATAAAATTGATGCGTATCGTAAACCTAGTTTTAATACAAATTTTCACTCACCGTTCGGCTGTCGTTCCGAGTGCAATAGTTCTTCACCGATAACATCTTTTGACCGAGCAAAACCCTCTGCAATAAAGTGGTAATTCGAATTGTCCACCCCTGTGAGCTGTATGCGCCACTCGCCAGATGGCGCATTGATCGTGTCGATTCTCACCCCATCCGTTTCACCCCTCCGTGTCCATGAAACCACCGTTTCTGGCCATGGCACTGTCACGCCTGTCAATAAAAATTCGTGAAATTTTTCCTGCTCGCTCACTGTTCGAAGCTTTACTGATATCATAAAAATCGTTGTTCCCGGTGATCGCGTAAAATGTTTTTCTATCGGAGGAGAAAAGTTTCACAGTGACTGCGTCGACAACTGCGATAACTGCGAGGGGTTATGCACGTTTCGTGTAGAGTGTTTCGTTTAGGTTTCTGTAAAAGTCAAAACGCCCAATGCAATGCGACGGCTGTAGACTGAATTACCTTCGATGACTGTGCGGTGGATACAATGAACGGTACGTGAAGGGGTAGTTTGATCGCCGACAGAAAACTGGCAGCGTAGAAAGGGAAAAGGAACTGCTGCAGTTAATTTAATTTATCCTGGCTAGTCTTACGAAATTTCACTGTTCGGTTTCTGTCACTTCTGGTTGTTCAGATAATTAAATGATTCAATAATATTAATCAATGGTTTGCTGGTAATAATATTATATTAATTAATAGTTGGATAATATTTACTGGACATAGAATGAATTTGATATTATCTTTCGTGAAAAAAGATACGTACGCGTGTATGAGTTTCTTTTTTGTATTTGAAGTATAATATGTTTGTGTATTTGAATTTTATATCAATGAAAAGGAACTATGGAAATATTATAAATTGATAGTCTGTTTTGCATTTCTTTGCTGTTTCTTCTTTAAATAATACGTATTGTAATCGATTAAATACTTATCAATTTTGACTTTGATATCGTGCTTATTTTCGTAATAAACATATTTTCGTGTGTTATCTGTCAGGTTTTAGAATTGTTAATTTTGCTGACAATACTGTTTTAATTAGTAACAAAAAGGTATTACCTTATTGCTTCCTGCTTTCTTGTGCTTCTATACAGTAGATGCAGTTGTAGAGTAAAAAGTTGTTTACTGGTCATTAGTGTGTGAATTATAATTATGAGTATGTAGAGTGAACCGTTAATGATACTTTTTTAATTACTTTGTTATAGTCAATGGTAATGAAAAAGCAGATCTAAGTTTAATGATTATTTGTGTTTCATTATAAAAAGTATCTAGCAAGTATTTGATTTTATAAAAATTTATTATATTATTTATATCTAATTCTTACAAGGAATTATGTTAATAATGTTGGTGCGATTCTGTTTAACAATTTCTGCTTAAAGTTGTTACGAATTCTCTATATATGATACCCTAAATTGTATACAAAGATGTTATTTATTATATTAAATCATTATTCAGTATTATCAAAACAATTCCGATACGTTAAATTCACGCGCTATAACACAGACGAGCATGCGTCATTAGATATAAATAGACTATAAATATTACGTATTTATAACATGTATAATTTTATAAAGTTCATTTAGAACTTAAAAGTTAACTTAAAAATTTGATATACTTTAATAAATTTTTATTTCAAACGTAATAACACTCTTAATTTAGTACGTACATTGTTTTTGCTGCAAATTACTCTATAAACATCTGTATTTTATTTAATTGGATGTTTCAAATGTTCGTAATAATTGCGATTTATTTTGCAAATAAATCTTCATCTTGTTGGACAATGAACATGAACTCAAAAATATAGAGTACCATTGATTCACGTGCCAATATACGTTCCGAGAGTTGAAAATTATTTTTAGTTTACACTACATCACAAAGTTAATCTTATAGTATTTAGAGCACGTGGCACGAAGTATAGTCTAGCACTGCACATTATAAAATCGTTTACAAACTGTAGGTCAATTGGTTAATTAATTAATTAAGTTAATTATTGAGTATTGTTTGTACATTTTTCTGTTCTAAACAGTCCTTCTACCGTTCTCGAGAAATTAAATTTAAAAATGGTTAAATTTTGGCCTTTAATTGTAGTACCTATATTAATATTTCTTGCAAAAAATAATTCTATAGATTCTCCCAAATCAAATTATATAGATTTCTGAAACATTTAATTTACGTACAGTTTCGGATATTTTTCTATAAATAGTTTTCACAATGAAAGTACAAAAAATATTTAAAGTAGAAACTTCGATTTTTGTTTGAAAATTAAATTTCTTATTACCGAATATTTGTCGGAATTTAAAGTACATATCGGAAAGAGTTATTTAAAATTTAAGCAGTTAACTGTGGAACGTAGTTTGAAAAATCTCTCGTAGAATAATAGATGCATTTATTATATATTAAAATAAAAAAGCAAACTAAATCAAAATGAAAATGAATTTTCAAAAGCGTTTATTTGAAAAAATAAATAATTTATTATAAAAAAATGGTATTATTTTTAGTTTTAAGATAACGAGTATACTCATAAAACACAGTTAACTGGTTAAGGGAAAAGCAATTTATAACTTACTCATAGGAATACGGAGAATTGCGTTTGAAACGTTTCCCTCGACGTTTATGACAATTCGATCAACTGCATTATCGACAAAAAATTTCGTTTCTGTGTGATTGCTCAAATTACACCTTTCTGCTATGTTCACCTGGAAGAAGTAATCAAGATTTTCGACATTTTGTGCCGTAAATTCTGTGACGAGGTAGAAAAAGGTAAATGCACTGACGGGTGTCTGAAAAGTGGGTTTATTAGACTTGTTAGGGCTGTCCTCGTTCCTTTCACTGTTTGGTACGTTTGAGAGGAATTCCTGTTTTATCGAGATTGCACCAGTTCCTGCTTCGGCAGTATTACAATCTAGGTCAAGGTAAACCTACATATAAATAAGATTATGAATATTTTTATATGATGACACAAAAGGTGTATGAGTGGTTCAGAATAATAGTTGCTAATTCTCAGAGTATTTCTGAGTTCTCGAGAAGTAGATGTTTGTAAAATGTACAATTATTAATATTAATTTATAATGATTAAAGTTATTGATAAAATTGCAATATTAATGTTTAATTAATCCAAGAACATTTTGCAAAAGCATTTTCTTCGAGAATTCAGAAATAGGAATTGGACCACTATTATTCTGAGCCACTCGCATAATAACAAAGTAATATACCTGACATTTTCTGGGAATGTTGTTTAAAATATGTTCGTCCGTCCATTCCACTTCTGGAGTGATCAATTCCAAATGATCTTTTGAAACGGAATTATCTGTAATATTTATAATTTATAAATAGATTGAAGTTTTTCTTTAAAAATCGATCGATATTTTCAAATAGTGCCAGGAAAGACACCATGTATTTATTTTTTTCAATTGACACGTGAGCTATTCGAAAATTTTCGATTCGATAAAATTTTATTGTATCATTCATTTACGTAATTGTTAGTTTTATCAAAAATGTATACTCGTAAGCGATCAATTGTAATTGGTTTTCTATTTGTTGCGAGGGATAACGTAAACTATAGAGGTTTATAAAGCAGTCAACGTTATGGTCTTTAGATAAATGCATTCTCTGCCACCTGTACCGTTCTCGGTGCCCGGTGAGAGTTTGATATCTTTGCCAACTGCTATTTTGCTCGTGAAGAGACAACATCCAACAAAATCATTTGTTTTCTGACAATTTTGAAATCAACTTACTAATCTTACTGTACTAAGTATTTCATACGTAACGAAATATTTTTAGAAACAGTGAAACAAAGAAATGTTCATATAATAGAAAACATAGTTAAATATTAATACAAATAGTTTTTTAACAAAGTTAAAATGAACTTTGCATATTGATTTACAATCTTTCTATTCTTTTCCATTTGTGTGAATATATTCAAAAATATTTTTGTCCATTTTTGTTTAGTAGCTATTGTATTTTGTATTATAAATAAAATAAATATTATTTTGTAATATAAATAAATATTTATATCGCATTTGTAGACTATACAAGCAAATCTGTAAACATTTCTTTGTTAGTAATGAAATTTTTGTAAGAATGTCACTTCTTATCTACAAGTTGTAATTAATTAATTAATTAATTATGAGTTTATTCATTGAGTTTATTTAGTTATGAGTTTATGTAACTTACCCCACGCCTCAATGCCATTATTTGACCAGAAGATATTAATATATTGGACATTATTTTCGTTCAGGTTGGTTCCATTTCCAATGCAATACCTTTATGGCCAATAAAAATGATATTTATTCAAATATAATTTAGTTTTAAAGCAGTCGTGCATAACTTATAATAAATATTCAGTAGATCTATTGACTTGATTTTGATTTTTATAATTTTCTGTAATATTAGAAGCTTAGGAGAGGCAGGAGTTTAAGATACATAATTTTGTGAAATATCTCAAGGATCACAAGTAAAATATTTGAGACTTTTCTATTGTACGTTATCATATTTTTATTTCGAGCATTCACAGTAAAATTTGCGATGAAATGGTTTTGTAATTTTGTAATAACTAATTATTTCTGCAATCGATCACCTATTTACATTTAATTAATTCATTTCAAATACAATGAAATATTAAATAAACTATACTAAGTAACTTACCTAGTACACTTATTCGTCGAGTGAAGTATAGTTCCTTCAAAGATATCCTTCGACGTATCAATAAACCTTGGGACCTTCGAGCTCGTAGCAGGAACGATCCAATCAAGTTCATCTGACTGTAACTCTAAACTAGATCCTCGAATTTTCTGATTCACTGGCACATTTTCTACGAACAATTTTAATTTCTCTCTGAAATCTTCGTTGATAAACGTAACAGGGTTCACTGCCGTAACAAAAACATTGAAGAACACTAGACAATGAAACGTTGAACAACAAAGAAAACACATTCGGGTCTTCATGATGCTTCCCTCACGGATAATCTCGACAGAAGATCAGCCATAAGAAATTACCTGTTACTTATAAGGTCCCGGACATCTTTGTTTACAAAAGGGTAAGGTGTCCGCGGTTACGTCGACGATAATACGAGCGTCAAAGTAAATCTAGGCGTAAACGTGGCCCGTTGCACAATCGCAGGTGTTTGATGTGCATGCGTGTACAGGATGTGATCGCGTATAGAAATGGGTAATTCGAGGTCCGACAGGATGCTCGTGCGATCACCTACACAAGAAAAGATAGGTCGTATCTTTTACTGGGCATTATCTTCGTCATTGGGACTTACGAGCATTGTATCCTGTCCAATATTTACTGTTCATGAATAATCCCACTGAAGTTTCGTGTACCGGGCATTTCACAGTTTTACGTTACAGTGACGTGATCTTCAATCTATTGGGTTGCATCTTAAATCCGTAATGCTCTCTTTGAAGTAACATTTTTTAGAACCCTATTGCGTTCGTATTGAATGTACAGTGAATATATGTATGTAGTTCGGGAATAACACACGGAAATATAGAAAAACTAATAAATAATTATGTTTATGAATAATAAAACAAGTAATGTTTAAATATAGGAAACTATATACTAGCGACACACAATTTACTGTCACGAAGGGCAACGCACGATTCTCTTTACATTTGCACTCAAAAATCATTCTGTTCCTTACAATCATTCTTTTCATTCGCACTCTCCACAAACTCTCAAATATACCCCTTCAAAGCCGAATTGGAAACTATTGGCCTGCAACGTTGTGCAGGTCACTTACTCTCGATCGTTACGCTTTCGCTTACTTTAAAATACTGTAAAAAATTCACTTTCAACTCTCAATTTTGAGGGGTGCTTTCACCTGTTTAAAGTGGACGTTGGCCGATAAGAAAACATACGTGCTAAATATTTTCTTGAGAACTATGTCTTACATAACTTTCATCAAAATCGGTGTTTGATGGTTGAAAAGGATTCCTTGTGAGATGAAGATAATTGTATTTGAATTTTGAATTATTTTTATTATTAGACGGAAGGAGTATGAAGACATGTTTAATAATTTAGTAGGTTTTGTATTTCGACTATATAGGAGTGAAGTATCTTCCAAAAAATTATAATAGACATTCCCAGATTTAGATTAGTAAAATGGTATGATCGTAACATTTTATCTACGGCTCCTGATCGAGGCTACCAGTTAATAATTAAAAATATGGTTTTCGGTCAGGTGTAAGAGTGTATGTTTTTACTTGCAAAGCTCTGTAACTTGAAAATCGAAGTGTATGGAATCTCGTTATATCGCATTTCTTCTATTTTAAAGCAGAGTCATTTTAATAGATTATATACGTATATCATTAAGCATTCGTAATGGAAAAGTCGATTAATAGGCTTGCGGTGGATAAAGTGTTAATCTAAGTATTAATACCGTTTACGCTTATTCTATGATTATCTTTGTCTATGCTATGTTTTCAGTCAAGTGTGCTTGGTATTTATCTTACAAATGGATTCGTAATTATCAAGTTTATGCGAATTTTAATGTTAGAAACATTGATTTTCATGACCGAATGATTAGGAAATAGGCAAACTGATGTAACGTATAATATTTACCATTCGAGTACGGTTCTCGAAGGTCTTATTCTGAAATAGTCTTAAAACTGTGGAAGCGATGATTTCAGATGTGAGATAAAGAGTGAAACGGAAGGTCAATCCAGATTAACGATAAGTGCACATCCTCATTCACTGGAAAATAGTTTGCCGTATACAGAATCTCTTTTTCATACTTAGAGCAGTACACGTGATAAGCGAATATGAAATTAGCATTATACAGGAATTAGATAAATAAAATGATAGCTACACAAGATTTTGATTTATCTCTTTAAGATGTTCTACAGACTTATGTAGAGAATAAACATATCTAATTTTTTTTAAGGAGTCATTAAACTTTTGTCTGTATATATTTTTGCGGAGAAATATTATTATTATACATATATCGTTGCCTAGCAACACGAACATCATACACACTTACAATATCCATCGTATTCATACGATACCCGCTCTTCAGCATAAATCTATTAAATACGTACTTTTTCGTGACCCGCGCTTCAGTGACAGACTGCAAAGTACGTTTTCCACATGCAGTGTGTTAAAAACAAATTATTTAAAAAGAATTTATATTTGCAATTCACTTCATTTTTAAAAAATATTCAATGTTTAATACACAAATTCCTAATTTCATTACCAGAAATTCTGAAAACCATTTTAACTTCAAATTCTCGTACTTCTATTTTTAGTACTCTCAGTTTCAGATATCTTTGTTTTAAGAAATACATATAAACAAAATTACTCAATAGAAATTCGAATACACCTAAGCATCGCCGTTTGTAATCTTAAAAATGGCTTCCTTTTGAGTTGCTTTACTTATTTCACTTTAAAACATTGTATGTATAAAAATTAGAAACAATATGTTCCATTGTTTTTAGATGCTGAATTGGAGAACCTCGTAGGACAGGGATCAGTCAATTCTCAGAATTTGACTTCACCGGCGGCTCCAGTTGTCACGGATTCGGAGTTTACGCCTATACCTTTACATTCCGAGACCACTAAAGCTCCAGAAAATCAGCCAGCGAGGCAGGGCTACTTTACCTCGATACTTTCATCTTTGCCGAACTTGTCTTTATCGTCAATTACTGGGGAGACCTCGAATCAAGGGCAAGAGAACGTAGCCAGCTTACAGAATAGGAATCCTCATTTGCCACCACCCGATCGTCGCGATTCTCTAAAGCACACGCCACCACCCCCGGTCTCTAATTTCCAGGACTCGCGACGCACGAATTTCGCGAAATCCGGTGAGGTTTATTCCGGAAATAGTCCCAATTTATCAGCACCACCGCAACCAGCTGCTGCGCCGCCAACAATACCTTCATCGGGTGATGGTAAGTGTTTACGGTTTGTGGCAGACACGGAATAGAATAAACCAATCATTCTATAGGCTTTTGTGTTCTTTTGGACTTATATTATTAATCGTTTGCAGTCGAATGATCTGTTTGCAGTCTGGTCACAGACACTAAAATTGTTGTATTACTAAATTTATTTATGTTTACATATGATTCGTAAACATTTATATCATTATTTAAATTTTTATATTATATAATAGTTTAATAATGTAATATTTTATATAAATTGAATGTACTATTAAAGTATTCGGAAGTTTGGGAACATTCATGAACAGCTACACGAAAATGTATTGAATGATTGGTTAATTCAGTACCTCAATTGTGGTTTTATTATTCAGCCTTTATATTTAACAAAATTTCTTATGTGAGAGAATAAAAGTACAAATAATACTCAATTTTAATTTCATAATAATGCAGGTCCTTTATACTCTTTTGGATTAATTCCATAAAATAACTTATCGCTGTTCCTTTTTTAGGACCCATTTCGTATCGACTTGGCAATCAGAGACGTCTTAAATACGCACCGCCACCTGAATTGACGTCAAACACATCGAAACAATATTCTACACCACCGATTCAGCCAGAGTTCACACCGCAGAATGTCGTGTCATTAAATATTTTCAACCCGAACGAATCAGTTGCTCCAGCTCAAACTTATCAGCCTGCTGTAACTCTTGCTTCTACAACGCCGTCGCTCGAACATTCAACACCTGAACAATTATCCCAAGCTAATTCTCGGCAAGAGTCCTTCAGGTCTAGTCCAGTCGCATCCGGCGTCTCGCATAGCTCAACCGGAACTCCGCGAAGTGCAACTCCGCAAAGTCCGAGCTCCGGCTACGAGAATGTGCCTTTAACTGGAAGAACAGCGATTCCGCAGTCATTGTCGCGGCCAATTCCTGTTCAAGTTCCAGAAACCGCAACTCCGCAGAACACGCCGGTAAACTTTTCTTTCCCTGGCTTCGACTTGTACGCCAATCAACGAGACTTTTTATCGTCGATTAATTCGGAAAAGGAGGCAATCGTTGCAAGAAACGTATCGAGTCAAGTAGAAGCACAAGCTTTGCAGAGCAATGTATCCGCATCCGCCATCGAAGTTAAACCAACTGTAACATTTGCTCCGACCTCAGCGGTTCAGATTTCAGAAAAATTGGAACATTTGCTCGCCGAACGAAAAGAAGACCCGTTAGACTCACCTGCTGACGTGCCGATCAAAACCGACGAAAATATATTAGACGGTCAAGCCGTTGAAACTTCTGACGAAGCGGCTTTGGGCGATATCAAGGAAAACAGTGAATTGCTAAAATTAGATTCGTCAGCAGATTCGTTTGTTGCACAGGAAAGTTCTGTACTTACAGCAGTACCTTCTAAAGCAGAGCATACAGCGGCTGAAAAGATTGATGTGACCCAAAGTCATGCTGTGTCGTCGAACGTATCATCCTTCCAACATTTTCAAACGCAGCCTTTTTCGCCAAGCTCTGGTTTCCTCGAGGATCAGACGGTACAGCAGAAGTCTAATTTAAACTATATTCCAGTTGAGAATACAAGCTCAAGTGCTTTCGTTAAACAGCCGCAGCAATCGATTCAACCGGCAAGCTCGTTTTTCGATTCAACGGGAAACGTCAGTCATTTCTCGCTTTCTCAGTATAAAGAACCTAGCACAGATGTTGATTTAACGGAAACTACCTCGGAGAACGATTCACAGCAACCGCCTTTGAACGCGTACTTTAGCTCTCAGTACAATAGTCCTTCAACATTCTGGGACAATTCGGTTTCTAATACGGTGGTCGCTAACACAACATGTGACACAGTGGCTCAATCAGTTCCACCACCGCAACTTTACAATCCTTTGGAATTTCAAACCGAATTGCAAAAACCACCACCAGCGAAACATCATCCGTACGTTTCTTCCTTCGTGCAACCACCGAAACCGCCATTGAATCAGGCTCAACATTACTTTGAGGATTTATCTGGTTCGACGACAACGTACGCTACAGCGGTTGGAAATAATAATATATTCCTTCCGAGCCCTCCTGCGCTGACAAATGTACCTGAACCGACAGGTTCGGCTACCCTGAGTCCAGTTCAAATGTCAATTAATCCACTAGGTGGTCGCTCGACTACGGATAGCGTATTTGCTAATTCTCAAAATTTGGTAAGATATGAGAACTTTTGCATTGCGTGATGCTGTACGATGTTTATGTATGTCTGTATTATGTTATATATATATATATATATATATATATGTTATATATATATATATCATATATATATATATATGAGTCGTTTTTAATATAAGTTTAAAAAGCTTTTCGGTCAGAGAAGACCTCTATATATAAGGTTTTTGTTACCTTCTATGTTGTTGTGACGCAACATTCTTACTTAATTTTTGACTCTTCAGATCGCTACATTTATTTATCAACATGTTTTTCCTTCTATTACTTGCTTATTATGTGTCCATTTTTATTTTTAAAATTTTTAATATACATAGTGCGTACATTTCAACGAATCAATGATATTTAAAATCTACTGAAATCAATCATCAGTACTTTAAATAGTTTTTTAAAAATCATTAACCATAATGAAACACGTTCATGACGCTTTCAATGTATTGATGAATCAACAAAGTGCTCTTAAGATTTAAAGATTAAGTATATAATTTCTTCTCAGCAGTATAGAAGTTAAAAAAGAAACATCGCTTATATAATCTTCATTGACTGTTAAGTAATTAATGAGTGTCTACGAAGAAGGTCGTACGTAACAGTTCCCAGAAGTTGCAAGAAAACGTAAAGGCGTGTAAACATTGTTTACACTGTAATAATTCCAAAAATTAAAAAGTAAATAATAATCTAATAATAACAGTAAAATATCGCTTCATTTAATTGACAATACCAATCCATTGAACAAGAAAAACAAGCAAAATTTACCTTCTTATTTCATTAACATTTTACAACGAAATAAAACAATTGTTATATTATTGTGGTCTCCAGAAAGTTATGCAACTGTCATATGTAACATATTCATGATATTTTAATTACTTCGGAAATATTTCAAGTAATAAAGCTAGTTGGTACCTTGTTTCGTGTTTCAGTTCAGAACTAAATTAAACCTGTCACTAAAAGAAAATAGTTAAATCTGTGTTGTTCTGTTAATAAATTTCAGACTGCTGGTCCCCCAGACAAACGCATGCAGTACAGAACGGTGTATCATCATTGGTTTTATCGCAAAGAGGTGGAACACAAAGTGTTATGGCTTCCGTTTTCTATGCAAGATAGCTTACGCTTAGAAGAGGTTCATAATTCCACTGAAATTACCCCCGAGACTACCGTCGCTACTGACGGTGGTCGTTACGATGTCGACATTTTACGACGTCGGAGATCTCCCGTTTATTGGAGCGGAGTATCGACGGAAGTGAGACGGTGCTCCTGGTTCTTCAAAGGGGTCGCTGAATCAAAATACATCCCTTACGACGAGAGCGTCGCTGCGAAACTCGAGGAGGAGTATAAACAGGCGTGTATGACGAATAATTGGAATCGAAGGGTCGATTTGAACAATGGGGAGTACGTTATTTTCCATGGTGCCACGGTTCAAGTTCATTACACATCGCCTGTCTCCCCGGAGGTGACGGCGTCTTGGAGTAATAGCGCGGTAAATAGTCTATATTTATCAATAAGTTACATGAACAAACCAAATAATGAATTCGAATGAAGTCAATATTTAACGTGAACACATTTTACGTACACCCTGAAGTGTTTCCAAATTATCTTGATTGCTATTAGTATCAATATTTTAAAAATAAGGTATTTTAAATGTTTACTTTAAGTTGTTTTATTTGGATTACAAAGTATCCAGGAACTATGAAATATATATGTTAAATATATGTATATTAAAATGTTTGCTACTAGTTCCATATATCTGTATATTACGCGAGGAAAGTGGAACTAATATTTTGCAGATTTTTTATGAAAATAATCTAGCAAAAAATAGATAACTCTTCTTTGTTACATTTTATACATGTTATATGAAGAGTACCTGTAATAAAATATTGTAATTATAAAGACTGTTAGCGAGATAAATGGTGGTAACGAACGTGTTCATATCGTAATGTACTGGTATTAGACAACATTGTTGTTTAAGAATACTGTGAATTAATATTTGCTTAATACATAGTTACGATTGTTATATTTGAATTCGGAAGGACACTTTTTCCAATACAGAGTCTAGTTTATAATAAAAATATCCAAAAGAATGGGTCTTATAACATTACTTTATTTGCTAATTAAATGAAAACGATTTGCATTGATAAATCACTTTCTTTAAGAAATTGAGAATACATTTATTTTGTATTCGAATTATTTAATTTTGGTACAGTGCCATTAAAAAAGGTTCGCTTTCATGCAAGTATAAACTTGAAAAAGTATTAAAAAAAATGAAATTAAACATTCTTGTTACTGAAATTTATCTTACTGTGATGCTAGAGTTATATTTTATTTAGTTTTCCTGTATTTGCTAAAGTATGTATTCTGTATTGAATAGTTTATACGATCTCGATTACGACATGCCAATATATGTGTATAAAGTTAAATTTGTTATAAAATGTTATTTCCGCAATTTTTACAATTGACGCAACATGTTAAAGTGGTTATTTTACATTTTGTACTATGTTCTTCTAATTGCTTATACTTTGTATATGATCATTACAATAGTGCTGACGTTAAGCGTTATTATTACATAATTTAACAGGCATGTTGTTACGAGAGTATTGCTTCCTCTGTTCTTTTTATAGATGAACCTAGAAGTTAAATGTTAAAGAATTATAATCGCTGAGTTCTATATAATGTGCAATAAGATCCCGTAATAGAAAATTACCTTTGAGTAAGAATGAATAGAAATCAGTTTAAATTTTGGAAAATACGTTTTTGCTAAAATTTTTGTTCCTCTTTAAATGATATATCATATATCTGAATTTTATATTTTCTTTTAGCGTAAAATAATACGAAGTAACTCTTTCCGTAATAGCTTTACAGAAACGGCTTTGTTAATGTGTATATGATGCTAATCGAAGTATTCAAGCTTTGTAGATTCCAAAGGTCGATGACTTTATAATTCATTCGCTAAAATAAATTTGCTTTAGGTAATATATTTATAAGTACGAAATGCTGAAAAATCTTTACAGTTGGTTTTATTAGAAAGTTCACTTAGCAGCTATGAATGTTTTACATTGTTTAAATGTTTCACTTTTTTTCTAACATCAATACTCTTACTAAGTGATTTTGGGTGATGCATTATTTTTTTTAAATAATGCGCGCATGGTTCTGTTGGAAATGTTCAATCATGATTTGTACAGGGTTCAGAGGACAGTGCATATTTACAGGGTGCAGCTAGTAGGCCACGAGTGGTAAAAAGGGGCCTCGACGAATTTCACATTGATGATGGCGAACCTGAGACGGTGGACCATCTTCTGTTCCTCGTTCATGGTATAGGGAGTGTCTGCGATTTGAAGTTCCGAAGTGTCGAAGAAGTCGGTAAGTTTTTAATTTCATTAATTTTAATGTTTTATTAACTCCTGATTTTGTTAAGATTTTATGAGAGTTAATTGAATTAATTTTAACAGAGTTAAAGTTATTATTTCACTATTGAGGACACTTCTTGCACACGCAATAACAAAACCTTTTTAATCTTGATTTGAATGAATTTATAGTATTCACAAAGAGAGTAATAATATTTTTAACCCTTTGTGGACGAAGACCCTTCGAAACATACAAAACCGTCAACATATGGAGCTAAATTACATATCAATTGCTTAATTAATAGAAAAAAAGGAAGTTAGAAAGTTAGGAAATTAGTCTTCCAAATACGAATATTTCATCTTACTGAAATGCCGATTATAAACATTTATAGTCAACTTTACAAGTGTGTAGAATTTTTTAAAACGAAACGAAATTAGAACATTTTATCAAATTTAATATACTTTTTAATTTTATTTTCAAACCATTAAAGTTTTTGGAAGAAGTTACAAGACGTCTCGTAGAAAATTTCAAGCACAAATTCACATTCAGTCTAAATTCGAACAAATCATCCAATATTTTTAAAAGATAGAATATACGTTTCTTAGTTAAATCTTTGAAACACTATTGATCAAGTAATGATGTATTGCTTCAATATTTGCTTCGTATATTTTTAATAATATGATATATATTGTATGGTTGCAGTTGACGAATTTCGAAGTATATCGCTGCAATTGGTTCAGTCGCATTATCGGACCGCTAGCGAGCAAAGGATCGTGAATAGGATAGAAGTTTTACCTATTTCTTGGCACACGACGCTCCACTCTGAAGACACTGGAATCGATAAGAAGTTACAGGCCATCACGTTGGATAGTATACCTAAATTACGACACTTCACCAACGACACATTGCTCGACATACTTTTCTACACTAGTCCTGTCTATTGCCAAACCATAATGCAAACAGTCGGGAGTGAGATGAACAGGCTGTACACGCTTTTTAAAGAAAGGAATCCAGACTTCGAAGGAGGAATCTACTTAGGTGGTCATTCGTTGGGCAGCTTGATTTTATTTGATCTTTTGTGCCATCAGAAACCAGCATCCGATAAGAAACCGAATGCCGATGACACTGAAACGACTGAAGAAAAAGTAAGTGAATATATGTATTCACTTATTTTATTGTGGAATAAAATATTACACGATTCAAAATTACAGGACTGATTAGACGCTTTTAAAATAAAAGGATGTTTAATTAGAAGCGTTAAAGATAATTTGATTTCAATCTTTTAATAGGTTTTAAAATTATTAACAACGTTAAATGTTTCATGGAATACGAATCACGTGACTTCCTTCGAAGTTATTTGGAAATTTATTGATGATATAAATGAGATAATAATATTTAGATATAAATAACAAATCTTCTCATTTTATTTCATTGAGAAGAAAGTTATTTTTAATTCCTTGACTTGTTATTCCATGAAGAAATTTCATACTTTTGTCTATTAAACATCTTGCTATATTTGGCAGATTTTAAGTAATTAATAAGGCATTAGAAAAAATATTAACATAATTGTTTTATGATGTAATTGTTTTTCTTTTTTGCAGAAAGAAGAAGAGAACAATGCTTTGCAAACATCATCCGGGCCAGCTTTAAAGCGACGTCTTAGTAAAAAGATAAGTTATGTGATAGGTGCTGCTGGAACAGGTCAACCTTATATACATTATCCGCAATTAAATTTTCACCCACGTGCCTTTTTCGCTCTTGGTAGTCCGATTGGTATGTTCGTAACAGTTCGAGGTATTGATATGCTCGGAGAAGACTTTGAGCTACCGACGTGCCCAGCTTTCTTCAATATATTTCATCCATTTGATCCTGTCGCCTATAGAGTTGAGGCACTCATTAATCTAGAAGCTCACAAGTACCGGCCAATGTTAATACCGCATCATAAAGGACGAAAAAGAATGCATTTAGGTAAATATTTCAACCCTTTTTGTTTTTTACTATGCAAGTCTTATTGTATATTGTTACATTTATTCTGGATGAGTCACTGTGTCTAAATGACTAAAAAATATAAACAATTTTTTTCAACTACTTAAATATAAATATATATGCATATCTTTCATTAGTAGTATTTTGATTAAAATAGATTGTTGAATAAATCTATTACATTAATTTAACTTAATTTATCTTAATCTTTAAAAATTTAACTTAATCTTTTTTTGCGATAACAATTTTGAACAATTAAGGTTTTAACGATTTTTTTTACTATATCGGAACAAAGAACATAATTATTAAATTATACATAAATATAATGTGTCCAGAAATATTTATCTCCTGTTTGATATAACAAAATATATCTGTTTGCCCTACGTTGCAGAATTAAAGGAAACAATGGCTCGAGTTGGAGCGGATTTGAAACAGAGGTTGCTTGATTCCGTAAGGAATACATGGAATTCGGTCTACCAGCTGACCGTATTTCATAAACCGGATAACGGTACCCTCGAGCAAGAAATTAACAAAGTTGTCGAAGAAGAATTACAAAAAACACCAACTGTGCCAGAACAACAAACCACCGACGACGGTGGCGCAGATTTTAAAGTGGGTAAATTAAATGGTGGACGAAGAATCGATTACGTTCTTCAGGAAGCTCCATTTGAATACATTAACGAGTACATTTTTGCTTTGACAAGCCACGTCTGTTACTGGTTAGTACAATTTCTAAAATCTTATCGGAAGTCAATAAAACATATTGAATAGAGTTTGAAAGATACTTCTATTCTATCTATTAATTTAGAACTTGGAAAAGTTAGAAATATTTTTCCCTTATAGGTTTATGTTTTTCTGTATGATCTTAAAATGTCCTTTAACTTTCAAGATTGTCTTTACTCGTGGTTGATATATCGAAATAAAATATCTTTTACAGCTTCATATTTAAGAGAAAGACTAAACAATAAATTATTTTTGTTTAGGGAATCTGAAGATACTATGTTGTTAATGTTAAAAGAGATATACGGTTCCATGGGTATCCAGACAGATGCTCAACTGCCTCAACAAACGCTTTCGATAGAACGAACGACTCCTTCCCCATCCTTGGTATCGTCTCCATCTACATCTAGCAAATGTGACATAACGTCACCGATACCTGGCACAGCAATAGATCCCACTGCACCAATATCGGACAAATCCATCGGTCCTCCTCCAATGAGTGGATTTGTTAGAAAATCATGATTAAAGAAGAACTGTTTGAATATTAAAGAGTTTAGTGAATTTGAAATCCAAGGTGGTGGAATATAACTAATTGCAGCTGATCAGGTTGATGCAGGCATTGTACCTGACATTATACGAATCACGGACTACAAAAATAGTGAAATCAAAGTTTTTCATTCGTACGAAGGTTATAATAGAATATTTTTAGCAAATCTACTACTATATAAAGGTTCCACAATAATGTTCGTATGGATTGTTCTTTTGCGCGCTTTAAGAAGAGAATGGTTAACATCGTCCCGAAAATCGGTCTACGTGAGGTATCTAAACACAAATCGACTAACTGCAGTCAAATTGTGTGATAAAGAGTTAAGAAATAAAACTAATAGTCGTGGTTTACATTTTTGGTATGTGAAAAATATTTATAATACTTGCAGGAAGAAAAAACAAACACACGCAAACAAATGACTCTTTGTAATATGAAAAAGATGATGAAAGTTAGTCATATTGTTTACTGTAAATACATAATTTATAAATTGATATAAATTAAATGAGATATATATAATTTTTTTCAAAGTACTCTTACATTGTGAGAATTTACGTGTAATTTCTCGAATGTGTGAGGATTTTAATAAAATACGTTATTCTTATAATTGAAAGAGTTTTCCAATATCCCTATGTTTTTCCTTTCACATTTTTAGCCACATTATTACATGTATGGAATAAATATTTATATTTTATAATAATAATTTATACTTCGATAATATTATTGATGCTTGTGCCCTTCATCAGTAACGGGGTTATTCTTGTAAACGTCGCATTATAACAAATATTTAACATAAAAATATCGATTATTACTATAGACCATTTCTTTAAAATATTTGTTGTTAATATTTCTGTTCTGGAAATCTAATCTCGGTTGCTCCTTTCATTATTTTCACACAGTTTTCGATTTTTTTAATAACTGTGTTAAAAGAAACAAAACTTGTTTTTTTTTATTAAAATTCTTTTATGTACAAAAAAATATCGTACGAACGTTTGAGTAGTAGATTTTTTCAATTTTGCAAAAAATTTAATATTCGTCGATTCGATTAAAAAAGAGCTAGAACGAAATTTTGTAAAACGCTAGTTGAAACTCGTCAGAACTATTCTTGTCGATTGGAAGCCAATAACGTTATTAGTTTTGGTACGATAGAAGCCATTGCGAAATTTTGATTGTTTTATCATATGTAATCTTCCTGAGAGATTTGCAAACGTTCGTAAAAATGATTTCAGAAATTGTTTTTAAATATTCATAAAATTCAGTAAATATTTCATTTTTTCTATTACAATCATCGAGAAGATACAAGTGTTTCTCAGAGAAATGGCTAAATAACCTGGTTGGGTAATGTACGGACTAAAGTATAAGCTAATGAACATCTTAATAAACACATTCTTATAATATCTCCAGAAGAATAAAAGAAAGTTGTTTGGCTACTCGGTAATTTTAATGTTAAGATTTCCTTCATTTTCATCAGCAATGAGCATTAGAAAAACAAAAAATTTGCCAATCCCGAATGTTTTGAAAGAGAATCGAACGACAAGAATATCATATAACAGAAAATACATATTCTCTTTTTCGTAATTTTGTGAAATTCTGTCAAGGCGAAACTAATCGTCGTTGCGGTACTTACATGCATTTGATAGAACGATGCCATTCGTGTAGCTTTAGGAGGATCATCGAATGGCGTCAGCTTATCGTGCGACCAGTTTTTAGTTAGCTGACATAAAAAAGAATGCTTCGGCACATGCATGGGTATCACGAAACGTTAATTAATTGCGGTGCACGTCCACAGGGCTGCGAGGGCTGCTTTGCATTTTGCGTGCAAGTCCTCGTAAAACTACATGCCTGTCAGCCCGAGCGAATTTCAAGATGATTTATCGTCCCGGTAAAACTAAGTTTTTCGCGATACTTCGTGGTTTCGCGGAGGGCTTCTGGGAGGCACAAGCGATGCCGGTGTGCATGCCACTACATTCGCCGGCTATACAACTTGTACCGTTGCTTACGCGATCTGACATCGTTGATCGACTTGTATTTTATGTCCCTTCCATCCAGCTCAGCCCCGCTTTAAAATATGTTTCCTCTTCTTGCCCGTGGAATCTCGTCAACTGATTTCCCTCGCAACTTCGCGTGAACTTATTCTACTAAGTTAAATTTAGAATGACGAACATCTGTGATTAAAATTTCAACCTTTCTTATTCGTAATTTTGGAACTTCGCGTCTTTCTACCAGATAAGCCATTTATAATAATATCACTGAACCGAACTTCACTGCTTTTAGCGGTGGAGAAAAATTGATTTGATTTAGTGTATTTTTTAGGTAGATGTTTCTGAGGTAAATTAATATCGATTATTATCTGATATAATTTATTATTTACCAGTTTTAATCAAAATTATTTTTCTAAGTGTATTATAATTGCTTGAGTTTGTGGACTAAAATCGTTTCAGCTTTCTTATGTTTCATTATTTTTGAGATCTCAAGGTTATCTTAATAACTGAGATTCTTTTTAATGCTACAACGTATTTTTTTATCGCCGCGTTAACTGATAATAAGGCGACTTTCGACTTTCTAATGTTTGTCGAAACGTGTCAGGAATAATTGTAAAACTTATAAGGAAACTGCGAAAACCCGAATGTTTTGATCTTATTTTAAATCTATTTTATAGGAGATTAGAAATATCACTCTCATATATTTATTATTTTCCGATCGTGTTCGCTCCTTGTTTGGTTCTCAAGGGTTGATAAGTCCCTTAACAAATATTTTTGATATAAAAGAATTATTCTAAAATACTCTTTCTCTCGCATACTGAATTATTTATTAACTTATAAGTAAACTTTTCATTACTACGATTTACTGGTTATACGATTAATTATGGTTAATTATAATAATTATCTCAAATCTTCTTCACTATACAGAAATGCGTATCTTAACATATTAAGAAACTTTAATTTTTGAAAATGAACATTTGATAATATTAAGAAAATCACTTGCAATATTATTCACTATATTTAATTAAACTTTTCTTTGGATAAATAATTGTTCCTTTTAATGGAACATATATCTTTATTCAAGTATGTAGATCGGCAATCGTTTATATTTGTTTTAGGAAGAATACTTAATTACTCTTCTTTTCATTGCAAGTTAAATTATGATTCACGTCCGCACAATGTTTATGTTGTACCGCAGCAGAGTTGTGATGCGGGGTTTTAATATTCTGCAGAACACAACTTCACTCTTCAAGAGCAACCGCATCAAGAGACAGACATTTATGTCTTGCAGTGGTAGCAGAAAGTGCAGCGAGGGTAAGATTTTACAACGAGGCCTGGTGAGTGTGATTTACACCTTGGAAAAACTCCATGACGTTTATGATATCTACTCGCGAATTATTTATAGCACCTGCCTTTGTCAAGGTATGTATAAAGCGCTCGCCACTCATACTTTTCATTGTTTTTTTTTAAGAGAATTTTTAAGGTATGCAGAACTATATACATATTGACATATATAAGAAAGAAATCTTACTGAATTTAAAAAAATATCTACTATTCAATAGTAAGCATGCACAGCGTATAATTAAAAATAATATTATTTATTAGCAAGTATTATTTATATTGACTTTACATGTTGTTTGTAAATGTCAATTAGAAATTTTAAAATGTCTTCGATGATAGAATTTGCGAGCATGTGACCATGCAGAAAAATTATATACTTTCTGAATTTATGTTTCAAATTCAGATTTAACAAATTTTTCAACCAATGTAACTTCTTTGACAATATCATAGTCTGTCGTGACTTTATGTTATAACAAGCATTGAAGAACATGGTACATCCAATAATAATGGTTGACATTTAATACTTTCTCCACAGTTACCATAATATGTACACGTTTCATCTTTCCTGTTACACGTGAACTCAACGTTATGCAATCGGTTTGCTATGAACACTAATACACTTGTGGAAATAGGTCTTGATAAGAAATAACTTCTATTTGTAAATTAATAAAAAAATACTAAACATCTCAGGATTCTCCGATATATGAATTCATAATAAATGAATTCTTATTATTTTTATGAAATGAAAATGTGTGAACAATGTTCTACATGAAATGATTAAAAATAAATTTAGAACAACTTGATTTTCGACGCCAATGACATTTGCCACTACTCTATTCCTGCGCTAGTCATTTTAGAATAGCGTTAGTGCTATAGATTATTTCAGCGACCTGTTTTATCTAGCGCACATGTGGCACTAAACTGATTACATCGTGAAACCCACTCAAACTCTAAATCGTCGATATTAATCGTTGCTTATGCATTTTGTAAATTTGGTTTTTGGCCGGTTTCTATGTCGTCAGTTCAGTTGGACACACGACTTTTTGGCACACATCCATCTCTCGCTATGCACCGGAATTACAGACCGTTCTCCGATTTTCTTTATCAAGATTTGGCGATGAAATTCGAATTTCAAATTAATCTTCGGCTTTTGGCTGCGCCACGCATTTATGACCAACTTAATGCTGCTAGTATTTGTTCAAATAACGTGCTGACACTGATAACAATTCCACAAAGCCGCTTGTGCTCCAGCATATTTATTCATATTTTTCTGCACACGTATTCTCCGAATGAGCTTTTTTATCATTTTATTATTCGAAAGAGACTGTTATAAGGAAATGAATTTTAGCTAAACGGAATTGTAACGTACACAGACTCATTTTAACAAATGGAATTTAAGGAAATTGTACGTAAGAATATTAAATTCATTTTACACAGATATAGTAAAAATAAAAAATAATTTCAGTAGAGATTGTATATTTATCTATAGCATTTCTGACAATAAATCTATTTATCGTCTTAAGTATATAACACTATCTTTTATAATTCGGTATTATGAAATATGTCAGATATTACTTAAATTGGTTAAAACAAAAATTTAGTTAACCTAATGGTTAAGAGTATAGTATTGTTTATAAATCATAATTATGTGATATAACTAGTATTTCATGTAGAAAATCGGAATGTTCAGAAGTTTTCTTAACCTGACATTTTTTCAATTATCTACAAAGGTACGTTGAATATTTAATTCAGGGTGTCAGGGCATTTGCTTTGGGTTCTCCTCTCACAGAAAGAGTAACTTTTCGCAGATTACTGAATACTTACTTTCCCATGTAAACACTCGTTTTTTGTTTCCTGTTCATTTACATTGTTTCGAAAAACAATCACCGAGAATTATATTTTTATATTAAAAGAAGTCTGCCAAAGACTTACAATTTATATTTCCATAATCAACATAATTTATATTCATATTAATGTGATAACAAAGTCATTGAAATACGAAGAATTTTTATCTTATTAATTTAATGCAGTGTTGGTATTAGATGGCGAATCCCTTTTATGATTGTTATAAAAATGTAGTTCAATTTCGCGTAAGTAATTGTGCTGTTCCATTTCATGTTCTGATATGCACATACATTTATCGTTCATTCTATCATGCCTGAAACATATAACCCTCTAGAAGTAGAATTAATGCTCGCATTTGGATACAATTACATTCGTTGATGTA